GCCGGATGCGTATATTTAAAACTTATTAAATTGCTATAATTTATACGACTTATCTTGTGGGCGCTGGCGCTGGCGGTGGCGTCTTCGAAGCCTCGAGGGTTGCTTAGGACTCGTAAAATACTGAGCAAAAATCTTATTGCATAGCTACAGGCGCGCACACGGCATGAACCTGCGACAGTTCGAGGCAATGGCAATTAATTTACATGCAAATCGTGCCAAAAGTTTATGCCCTCACTCCCCCCGTGCAGCGGGGCAACCAGTGAAAAATCCAGTGTCTGCGAAGCGCCTTTAAGTATTCAACGCTTAAAGGCTAAGACAACAGGAACCCGCCTTCCCACATACTTGATTAGTGTGCCGCCCGCTGTGCGCCGCCTGCTTCTAACAATATGGCGAGAGCCGAGGACTACGACCCTTTTGGGACTGCGACTCACGTGCGTCGATGTCGACAGGTTGCCGTACCTTAAAGACGATCCAAGTTCTTAAAAGTGCTCTTTGTTGCTGTCATTGTTATTGTTTTTGTTCGTGTCTATCCCGGCCTAACAAATTGCTCAGCTTTTTCTGCTTTTTATTGTTGTTGATTTATTGTACAACAACAATGGGAGCGCACATTAAACATTCTGTAATGAGTTTAAAGTTTTTAATAGAATTTTTGATTATACCCGTGTTGAGACGAGGGGTTCGACGACCTATCGGAAAATGCTACTTACTTAAATTATCGTAATTACAAAATTACGATTAATAGGCATACATGGTGAGGGGAGAGAAGCACAATTCGTCATAGGATATCTTTATATGTGAAACGCGAATTGTGAGTTTTATGACTCACATTGCCCAACTTGATGGGTTTCTTAGCGTTTGCCTTGATTTGCCCTAACGAAAGCTTCCAGTTGCTTGCGTCCCATTTTGCCAATCCATCACAATCCTGTGCCGCGTACTCATTCCTTGGAATCACTCTTATGGCAACGTCTTCTCTTTTTGCTGCTAACCCATTTCCACTTTGGGTAAATCTCTTAAGCTTCAAACACTTTGTATGTACAATAAATTTGTATCTTCACCGTCTGTCTCTGTTTTCTTTTTCAATTTCCACAACCCAAAACGCGGCCATTAAACGCTTTAAAATCAACATCAGCTCCGCGACGACAGGGGCAATAAAGTCGATCCAAAATTGCTTCCTCTGCACATAAAATCCTACAACATGGCGAGCCCAAAATCGTCCTACATGCCTAAATTCCCTTACACAACATCGCAAACACACACACACACACACACACACGCACACATACATACACTTGAACACAATTACTGAGCTTTGCACACAAACACAGCAAAAGTGAACGAAACACTTTACCATCCGCCTGATTTGCCCCCTCTCCCTGTCTGTTCCCCCTCCTGCCACGCTCTCTGCCCACTTAATACTTAAATGCAAACGTGTAAATTATGTGATTTTTCCCCGGCGGCCATGTTTGTTTGCAAACTCCATTACCAACATGGCGGGAACTTCCTTCAGCCTCGAAGTCCCCTCCCTACCCGCTCTTCGCTTCCACAGTCACCTGTTTGTTTCGAGAAATCGTCGCGTTTTAACATTAAAAACGTAAAAAAAAAACCCAACCAAGAACCCCTTTATGTGTTTTTCATGTACTTTTATTTGATTGTCGCACGCTTCGGCGCTTGGCAGGGCAACCAGCTAGATGGTTAGGTTCGGGAGTTCGAGAATTCGGGAGTTCGGTGCACGGCGAAGAGCTGAAATTTATAGCTCTCTTTTAGTGCTTAAAATATTAGCAAATGTTCATTAACGACTATTCAAATTGGCGTTAGTCAGGCTCACTTAAAACACTGCGCGAGTTCTGCAATTACTCAAAAGTACTTAACACACAATTGATGAACGGAAGGGTTTTAACAGTCCGGCGATAGTGCGTTTAATTGAAGCCAAGTTCAGTAAATGTCGTAACTTAAAATGTTACTTTAAACAATTGCATCTGACAGGAAATCCTTTAGTTCCTACATATGTGTTTGATATGATTTTTGCAAGAGAACACATTTTGAGACTTGAAAACAAATTAAAATGAAATCTAGCTCTGTCTTGCGCCTAACTATGACTGCATGGTGTTTATTGGACTGCAGCAACACCTTGGCAAGTGGCGCACACATAAAATATAAATTTGTAATTTAAATATTATTAAAAATGTTAAATTGTACGCAGCATAAATCTCATTTTGGGCTTGTGGGCAACTGTAGGGGTAGGATAGCAAAACTGCGACAGCTTGTTGGCTTCATTGTGGCCCAGGGGTTGTGACAAACACTTACACTCTCCCACACATACTCTGTGCACCCACACACACATACACACACAGTTGTGCGCATTATACAATAACCATTACTGGCAGCTGCGTTTGCCACACTATTTTTATTGTGCCCTCTTTTGTGTGTTGCTTTAATTTAAGCGATTTGCTCTGGGTTCATAAAATAGCCGCAGGATTGACGAGCCCAACGTCAGCCTGTTCGCTGCTGTCACATATTCTTTTTTTTTTAATAAAAATATTAATGCAATTAAATTAATAGATAATTTAAGGTTTAAATGCATGAATGACCAGAATTGACAGCAAATTAATCTCTTTTGAGGCCAAACATTTCTGCTAACTATTTGCGAGCATTAGGGCAATACACTAATAGCCACTATTTAATTAGGCAGCCAATTATATAAAGCTTCAAATATATGCATAGCTTATATATCCAAGTTAACCGAACTAATCATTGACCTATTCGTAGTGTTTTACCCCTGAGATGCAAGCATAGCAGTTGCTCTTGGCAACTGAACCAGCTAATAAGTTAGGTGGCGTTGACCCATTAGATCGATAAATCGAAAGTAAACTTTAGTGAGCGCAGTTTGGCTCGCTTGCCATTTATTTAATGAGGCAGCTGCAAACAGCACTTTCATCCTGAAAGCTATCAGTACGCTCCCTCTGCAGTGTCCTGTTTTTTAAAAGCACCCGTTGCCCATTAACTTGTGTGAATTTATTTCAGCAATTGCCAGCACCGACTACCGACTACTGACTGCTATTATGCGTTCGTTAATTATTCACACACAGCTACACACACATTCTCGCCCACATACCGAATCGTGGCACGTTTCGGTCATAAAAATCGCCCCCTATAAATGGCACGCCCCTAACGGGGCAACTAGCTTGAAAAGAGGCAAAGCGCTTAACCTTTGCTCCCTAATACAAATGTCTCTGCGGATCTATGGACATTTATGCATTCCTTCATCAACACTCCAACTCCTCCTTGACATTAAATAAATCTAACATATCGTATAAAAGCTTATACTGGATAACTTTAATACAAACACACACACACACACACACACCCATATATAAAAAATGACGCAGACATTATTCACGCTATCATTGCACACAGACAGACAGACAGACTGTAGGAGCAGCATACACGAAGTGGTGGGTTGGTGGTTTGTTGAGTGGTGGAAGGGATGGGTCGACCCACCCATAATGGGAATGCTTTGACCATATCCATTCTGGGTTATCCAACTTCTGCTGTGGCGAACTTTGCTCACTTGGGTTTGTCGCCCTACTCGTTGCCTCCTTGGCTCGTTGGCATACAGATTCATGCAAAGGATATTTTTGCGGCAAGAGGTCGTTTGGGTAGAAATTACAACAGTTTTTTGCACAGTAAACGAACAAATATAGAATACACCTACACATGCCCATAAATATGTATGGACGACACATGCATATGTAAGTACGCACAGGCATAAATAGCACATGTGGTTAACCCATGTCCGTCCGTCCGCCTTGCCCCTTCCCTTATATTCGCATTCAGGAATATACGAATATCCTAAATTTTGCCATTCACTTGAGTAATTAAAGCTGACAGCTGTGAGTTTTGGGCCGATTGATTCAAATTGAAAGCTGTCTGTTACGAAACCTGCATTGTATACTCGACAGCTGCCTGCTATGGCCAAGCGAAGCTCATTGATGCCACATTTTTAAACATTTTCATTTACTCACAATTCAAATTTCAGTTCACACACACACAGACATTTTCATTTCCGTGTGCCTAAAACATGAACCCGTCCCGTGATTGTTCCCTGGACTCCCTTTAAGCTTGAACGCAAGCATCGCATAATCGAATTATCATCATGGCGTCAACAAATGATTTCTACTTATCCAGCTACTGCTCGCCATTTGCCCTCCTGGCACATCTACTGTCTACTGTCATCGGTCTCGCCAGCCCCAAAGCAAGTCCCTTTTTTTGCACTTCTTTGCCCACCACAATGAAACCTTTCGGCCATCCTTTTAATTTTTTTTCTATACCCTGTACCCATGGAACTTGTGCAGCATTGGGTATAAGAGCTTAGTGCACATGTATTAAATCTATCTAATCTACCGAATCGAAAATCCGTGGTTAGTGAAGGAGATTATTAGAACTAGAATTAAGTTCGATTGTTTAATAGGGCTACACAGCGCAGGTTGCGTGGTATCTTCTAGTCGATCACTCTCTAGTAAAGCAATGTTACTTGCTTGTTTTTTGTACCGCTTCTTGCTGTTTCCTGTATTGCCAACGTCATTGTCGCTGGTCACTTTCCCTGCTTACCACATTCACTTATTCGTTTTTCCGTTCCGTTCGTCCGTTCGTTCATTCGTTCGTTCGTTCGCTTTTTCTCTGTTTTTTCATCGTTTGTTTGAGGTTATGTTGAATGTCAGTTTGTTATCCTTGCGCAAATCCTTTTATACAAATGAAATTTGCACCAAATGGCGATAAGCAAAATACAATAGTGTCGACGTTCGGTTTTAGCAGTGACTGCGCTGTGATTTGGACAGAGCAATAGCTCGAGGGTTACCCAGCCAGCACAGAATGCGGTGGGATTTTAATGAAATTGAATTTCCACAGAATGCGCTTGACTGTGCTCAATGCCGTTTTAATTGATAAGCTTATCATAGCTGATGACTAATGCATTTTTGGTCTCTAACTCTTTTTGATTGCAGATATCAACAAGGGCTCACCTATCGACTACAAGAGCGGATCGGCCTGTTCCACACCCACAAAAGACACTCTCAAAGGGGGTTACGATCGCAGCACGCAAGGCTGCATGGGCCCGGTTCTGCCGCCAAGGAGCATGAACGGAATGCCCACCCATCATTACTCGGCGCCAATGAACTTGCGCAAGGACTTAGCCGCACGCTGCTCGGCCAACTGGGCTAGCATTGCCGCGTGCTCGGCCTTCGCTGTACTTTGTATTCTGCTGATCCTGCTGACCAGCACCGGCACCCTGCACTGGTCCCCGTCAGCACCCTGCACAGTTCTAGTCGGCAACGAGGCCGCCGAGGTCACGGCGGCCAAGAGCACCAACACGGATTTATCCAAGCTGCACAATGCATCGGTACGCGCGAAAAATGGACAGGGCATAGGAATTGTACAGGGACAGCCTGGTGGAGGCATTGCAACGGCAACCGTCACGACAGCCACATCGAACAGCGGGACGGCCCAAGGCTTACAGTCGACATCCACCTCGGCGGAGGCCACATCTTCAGCAGCGGCAGCCACTGCAACGTCCTCCTCACAATCGTCGCTTGCGCCTTCGACTTCGCTATCCTCATCCTTAGCAAACGCCAATAATGGAGGTAATTATGCACAAGTTTTAATTATTTTTAAATGAGTTTTCGTAAGTTTTGCAAAAGTGCGAGAGCTGAAACCGAGAGAGAGAGAGAGAGAGAGACAGCTAGAATGAAAGAACGGAAGACGTATTAAGCGCTTAAGGGTACCCAGGCGGCGGTCAGAAACTTTATTTATATATTGTCGATTTTTAGCTAAAAGTTTTTCTTTCTTTGCATTTGACAGTAGCTGGTGTGAGGCTTAAGCGCAAACACTCGGCTATTTATAGTCAATGCCGTTTCCATTGTGCTTCGTTCATTAAATATAGCTCAGAATATTGCACTAATTACATTCCGAAATTGACAGCAAGACGTAAAGAATGGCAAAGAAGGCGTCTGTCGAAAACTCTATCCATGAAAAAGTATACAGTATAATTTAAAGAACGTTACAATTTCAAAATTAAAGTTAATGAATACGAGAATACTCGATTTTGGAAACGAGTGGATAATTGATTATTATATTTACTTAAAAGTACTTTGTGAAGTGGATAATCTGCAGCCGAGTTGAATTGGTTTATTTTATTTTCAACCGGCGCTTTTTTATGAAGTTATGCTATTTACAGAGTATATTTCAGTCGAGAACTTTCCAACATGACATTGTTCTCATTTGTAAATTCATCAAATATACCCAAACGTATTCCGCGAAAAAGTAAATCTTTGGCTGTATCAATAAATGCAACACATTCGAATGTATGTCAATAAATATATCTACCAAACCTTCTAAATTTTATTTCCGACAATTTTCCCGCCTTTAGTTTGTTGTCAAAACGTCAGCAAATTGAAAACGTTCTGCTTTATTTCGCAGTTTATAATTTTTTGCTTAACAAAGCGAAAAGTGGATTTGATTTACGGATTTTGTGCTGTGTATTTTTAGGTCACATGGCACACATGACACTTAACATTTGGCAATTAAGCTGTCAAATGTTGACGTACCCCCCAGCTTTGTTTTACTTTGTATGTCTCTCTCTCCATAATTTTTTCTCGTTTTCGCTTTCTCTCTTTCTCTCTCTATCTATCTGTCACTATATTTTTGTCCCATGCCCAAATCAACCCCACGTCGTAGCCCGGGGCGGGTTAAACAACCTGTCAGCTTTGCCCACACACGCATATGAAAATGCAAGGCACTTTCTGACAACCAGTTTGAAATGAATTAAAAATACATTTTATGCTTAATTTGAGCCAACGTGGTTGGTTTGCATGGTTAAGGGTATACTTTGGGTCGTAGTAGTTAACCACAATAGAACAAGGTAATCTCGCTCTCTAACTCCCAACTGCTCATCCGAATACCTGTAGCAAGTAAAGGAGGTACAGGAGCAGTGTCAACGTGGCTGTCTGTCAACAAGGATGGCAACAAACGACGCCATGGAAGAAGTTTAATGGACTGGCAGCGGGGGCAGGATCATGATGATGATGGAGATGATGATGATGTGGCTGCAGAAACTTTTAGCGACTTAATTACGAGAGCAAGTGAAGTCCATGCCCAAAAGTATCTGACTTTGACAACGTCGCCAACCGCTCAAAACTTGGTGAAATCCATAAGCGAATCTGTTAACATACACCGGCCCAGGAAGGCAACTGTCATCGCTTTGGACACCCAGCAAAGCAATTACGATAAAACTTTGCACAAAATCGATAGCATATTGAATCTCGAGCAGAGCGAAGGGAACAGCTTTGTGGACGACATCAGCGACTACGACTATGAAGACGATACCGAAGATGAGCAGAAGGAGACAACAGTGCGGCCAGCACCTAGGACTAGGCAACAATTTGGCAAATCATTAAACGGCAATTTGCGTAGAGCAGGTAAAACGCTTTCCAAACCCCAACGGAAGTTTAAGGAGGAGCTCCAACTCAAAGAGACCAGCGATACCATCGCCGTCGAGTCAGATACAGAGGCAAGCAGCGTTGCTTCTGTTATTGATGACTATAATCAAAATGACAGCACCATCAGACGTGGCAGCAGCAGCAGCAGGGAGGACTCAATGCTGACAACGACGTCAGAAAGTGACAACGATGACGTTGTTGAAATCGACACCATCCGCGGAGCTAGCACGGAAAAGAAAAAGGGGATGTCCTCAACCGTCTCCATTATTGAAAATGATTTTCAAATCAAACAGAACCTGAAGCAGAAACCTGCCGCTAATGATAACAATAATGAGAGTGATTTGGCCGATAAATATGAGAACAACAAAAAAGAACAATCAGAGCCACCCCCACATAGCATAAATCAAACAGTGTCCGACCTTATGCTGAGCGACGCGGCACTCTTCGATAATGACGATATCGATATAGTCAAATTAGACGAAGCGCCCACCTCCAATGAGGTGAACCTATACAAAACGGCTGTCGAGCCAGCCAGGATAAAGCCGCTTCAGTCACTGCCAGCTAGCGAAAATGAGGTTCTTAAGGAGCAAGAGAATGACAATATTTTACCAGCCCATTTAATACCCCTAAAGCCATATGTCAGTGAGCGCTTTGATCAGCCGAGTAAACGTATATTAGTCAATCTGACGATAGCCACAGACGACGGTAGCGATTCCGTGTATACGCTTCATGTGGCGGTGCCGACCGGCGGCGGCACGCACAATGTGGAGCAGGTGCTGACCCACGAAAAAAAGATTCTAGATGAGGACAATAATATAGACAGCGTTGGCTCCTGTGTATTCGAGCCACCACCACGTATGCCCGACTGCCCCTGCAGTTGCCTAGATCCATCGCCAACAATTTTCACGCACAAGGACAACGACCCAGTTGACATTGACTCTGCCAGCCCGACGACAGCGACACCGCAAGCAGAGGAAGCTACTATTTTGGGTCACCAGCATGATTCGAGTAATAGCGCGGAGGTGGAAGATCCATCAACTCCATCAAGCACCGATACTAACCTTCCTAGCATTGATTTTGATAACAGCATTGCCGCTACCGATACTAATTCTGATGTCCTTGGTGGTGAAAAGCTTGCATGTCCCGATGTTATGCCTATACTCATACTGGAAGGTGATTGTACTATCTGCTCTCGATGCTAACCTCACTATAAGTGCTTATAACTAACCCGTCGATTGACCTTATTGAACACTAAACCGATAACCAAAATGCTGTACAGCTAATATTTTCTAAGGCTATTGCTAACATCAAAATCATAAGATCATTTTATTCCGCCCATATTAAATTCTTCATATATCCCGCATCTGTACAAAATACCTCCAAGCAGGAATATGTGGCACCAATATCTGGCTGTGTAGGCGTCATCGTCATCTACTAACTAGGAAAGCGATATTCTTAAGCTAATCTACAAATGTGATAAATAATTGACCGACTAAACTGATCCATTTGATGATCTTTGAGCATAAGATCACCTACTCATATCATATTTAGACATTTAAGTATCTATTATAGAAAGCATATATAATAGTCCATATTTAAATATTCAATTCATAGTCTCCATAGCTCCACAAAAAGACAACAACTAACCCAAATGTGAATTGTTTTTGTTTTGTTTTCTCATCCAATCACTCCTCACAAATGCTGCACTCTTGTCGCATTGTCCGCTCATGCGCTTCCCGATAACAAATGGCAGGTGCTCGCACTTTCCCAGCGCGAAGCTTCCCACCGGATGGCACCACCTTTGGCCAGATTACGTTGGGTCAAAAACTAACGAAGGAGATACAACCTTACAGCTATTGGAATATGCAATTCTATCAATCGGAACCGGCCTACGTTAAGTTTGACTACACAATTCCCCGTGGCGCATCCATAGGCGTATACGGGCGTCGTAATGCCCTGCCCACCCACACTCAATACCATTTTAAGGAAGTCTTGAGTGGCTTTAGCGCCAGCACACGCACCGCCAGGGCCGCACACGTAAGTTTTAACTGCGCCTGTTAACGTCTACTAACACTTTAACTAACTAATTTCCCTCTATGTGCTTTTCATGGACCACTTAAACGTCATACATCACATACACCATTCATAATTTTTCTGGGAATCGCTCAAATGCTTGCCAACTGCAGCTTTCCATAACGCGAGAGGTGACACGTTATATGGAGCCAGGTCATTGGTTTGTCTCGCTCTACAACGACGATGGGGATGCACAGGAATTGACTTTCTATGCAGCCATAGCAGAGGACATGACACAGAACTGCCCTAACGGCTGCTCCGGCAATGGGCAATGCTTGCTGGGCCATTGCCAATGCAACCCCGGTTTCGGAGGCGACGATTGCAGTGAGAGCGTTTGTCCAGTGCTGTGCTCCCAGCATGGAGAGTACATCAATGGCGAGTGCATTTGTAATCCGGGCTGGAAGGGCAAGGAATGCTCCCTCCGACACGACGAGTGTGAGGTGGCCGATTGCAATGGTCATGGACACTGTGTTAGCGGCAAATGTCAGTGCATGCGCGGCTATAAGGGCAAATTTTGCGAAGAAGGTAGCCACGATTCAGCCAAACCCAAGACTCCCCCTTTCTTCCCATATGTTATCAAGCCAAATTTTCTTAACACAATACTTTTTTCTTCTCAGTGGACTGCCCACATCCCAGTTGCTCTGGACATGGCTTCTGCGCGGACGGCACTTGCATCTGTAAAAAGGGCTGGAAGGGAACCGACTGCGCCACCATGGACAAAGACGCGCTCCAATGTCTACCCGACTGCTCGGGTCACGGTAACTTTGATCTGGACACCCAAACCTGCACATGCGAGACCAAGTGGAGCGGTGATGACTGTTCCAAGGAGCTCTGCGACCTCGACTGTGGCCAGCACGGTCGTTGCGAGGGTGATGCCTGCGCCTGCGACCCGGAATGGGGTGGCGATTACTGCAACACTAAGCTCTGCGACAGCCGTTGCAACGAGCACGGTCAGTGCAAGAATGGAACCTGCCTTTGTGTAACTGGATGGAATGGCAAACACTGCACAATCGAAGGTTGTCCAAGCAGCTGTGCTGGTCACGGACAATGTCGGGTGAGCGGCGAAGGCCAATGGGAATGCCGCTGCTATGAGGGCTGGGACGGACCTGATTGTGGCATCGCCTTGGAGTTAAACTGTGGCGATAGCAAGGACAATGATAAAGGTGGGTGATTGACAATTCCTTTGAAAGAACCCATTTTAATCTAATGATACACCCAACAGATGGCCTGGTTGACTGTGAAGATCCCGAGTGCTGTGCCAGTCACGTCTGTAAGACATCCCAGCTGTGTGTATCAGCACCCAAACCCATTGATGTACTCCTAAGGAAACAGCCTCCGGCAATTACGGCCTCATTCTTTGAGCGCATGAAGTTTCTGATTGACGAGAGTAGTCTCCAGAACTATGCTAAGTTGGAGACTTTTAACGAGAGGTAGGTGCTTTCTTGTAGCCAATTTGCTGCCCATCGTTTTTAGTTTAATCGAAAACAAATTGTTGGCAAAGTTAAAGACTGTGTATAGTTTCCAGAATTGGCAAGGGGCCCGATGAGGCACCCTAAATTGAAACTATATTTCCTGTATATTAAAAAACATTTAGCTGAATTTCATATATACTACCAATCAAATAATAATCAAAATAGTTTGCATAATTAATATTTTTATGTGTTTAAATTTTTATGTTTTTCGTTTTCGTGCCCTCGTCTAAAACAAATCCCAATAAAAATGGCAAAACATTTCCGTACACAAACATTCCTCAATCCCATTGAAAGCCTTGTAAATAAATCCCTACATGTCCTTTGTTCAAAACTAATCCGTAAAACTAAACAAACCAAACCAAATCAAATGAAATCTTTGTATTCAAAACAAATCTAAGGTACAAGTAAAGTAAGTTTAAATTAAAATAGTTAAGAACTTTAAGTATACAAATAACTCAGAGTAGGCCTTAAGTACACCTTTCACAAGGAGTTGATATCATGAATCATCTCACCCTTTTTACATAAAACTGTTCCCAGACATCCAACAGAATTCGGATTCTTTACTTAAGGGTTCTTGTGAAGGGTCACCAGTAATTTCGGTATGATCGAAAGCAAGGATACTTAATTAATTTTGTTACGGGTTTCATAACACAATCAATTCTAGTAAACGATAAAACAACGACAACCATGCTAATTCAAATATTTTTCTCTCTGCTTTCTTTTTCTTCTCATCACGCGTGCCCTTAATCCGAATAAAAATTGAAAAAATACCTAATAACTGTTACTACTACTACTACTACTCGCTCCTCATACTACTACTACTCGATACTAATTCCCATCAAAAAAATACACAAAAACAAACGAACATTGCGCAATCGAATTCCAAATGCTTTGTATTAACTAACGAATTCTATTCGCTACTTGTTCTCGCTATAAATCAAAATCATATACTAACAGCATTTTTTGGAATTATTTCAATGCAAGGTAAGCAAGCGAAAAACCGGTACTAAAATAATACTAAAACTACTACTAATACTAATTCTCGATGGTTGTTTGGTACACTCGTTTCATTTATATAATACAATTGTTTTTATTTACTTATAACTATTATTTAATCAAAGAAATGGTTACTCATTTGTCTAGCGTAGTCCTATAAATATCTTAATAAGATCATTTGGTAGTTGATTTTTCGATTTTTTCGTTCGTGATAACACACTTGTGGGATCGTAATTGATTTACTCGTTACTTTACTCGCCAGACAACCAATCAAATATTTGGATTTTAATTTAACATACGTATAAGCTATGCAAATGTTGTTCTTAGGTCAATGCTAGGTCATACACAAAGCTATATACCGAAAATATACATATACATACCATATTCAACTATGTTCAAATTGTAAACCTTTGTGTGTTGATACGAGTCTGTTATGTTATGTGCGTGTGAAATTTTATCATTTGTACTTATCACATTATTTCTTATCCAACGTAGTTGCGAATCCTAAGTTCGATATGCTTGTTAGCCAGATGTATTTGTAGTTGACCCCGCAACTGAACACCATAATAAGACCCGACTAACTGTTTTATTTTGTTGCTTTCCCAACAGCCGTTCAGCAGTTATCCGCGGACGCGTGGTCACCTCCCTGGGCATGGGGCTGGTAGGCGTGCGCGTTTCCACTACTACTCTGTTGGAGGGTTTCACACTCACTCGCGACGACGGGTGGTTTGATCTGATGGTCAATGGCGGAGGAGCTGTGACCCTGCAATTTGGACGCGCTCCATTCCGACCGCAGTCTCGCATTGTGCAGGTTCCATGGAACGAGGTCGTCATTATCGATGTGATGGTCATGAGCATGTCCGAGGAAAAGGGTCTGGCCACGACTACAACACACACTTGCTTCTCGCACGACTACGATCAAATGAAGCCGGTTGTATTAGCCTCATGGAAGCATGGCTTCCAAGGCGCCTGTCCAGATCGCAGTGCCATACTGGCCGAGTCGCAGGTGATCCAGGAGTCCCTGCAAATACCTGGTACGGGCCTAAATCTGGTATATCACTCGTCCCGTGCTGCCGGCTATTTATCAACTATTAAACTCCAACTGACGCCGGATACTATACCCGCATCGCTTCATCTTATTCATTTGCGAATTACCATCGAGGGCATCCTATTTGAGCGTGTTTTCGAAGCTGATCCGGGCATTAAATTCACGTATGCTTGGAACCGCTTGAACATATACAGACAACGTGTCTATGGCGTCACTACAGCCGTAGTTAAAGTGGGGTATCAGTACACGGATTGCAAGGACATTGTATGGGATATACAGACCACGAAACTCAGTGGCCATGACATGTCTATCTCAGAGGTAGGCGGCTGGAATCTGGACATCCATCACCGTTACAACTTTCATGAGGGAATTCTGCAGAAAGGCGACGGCTCTAACATCTATCTGCGCAACAAGCCTCGCATCATTCTCACTACCATGGGCGATGGTCATCAGCGCCCGCTGGAGTGCCAAGATTGCGATGGTTTGGCCATGAAGCAGCGCCTGCTCGCCCCAGTTGCCCTGGCTGCCGCACCAGATGGCAGTCTGTTCGTTGGCGATTTCAACTTTATTCGCCGTATAATGACGGATGGCAGTATTCGCACGGTTGTCAAACTGAACGCCACACGCGTCTCCTATCGCTATCACATGGCCCTGAGTCCGCTTGACGGCACTCTCTACGTATCCGATCCAGAATCTCATCAGATAATACGCGTGCGCGACATCAGTGACTACTCACAACCGGAACTAAACTGGGAAGCGGTTGTGGGTTCCGGGGAGCGTTGCTTGCCCGGCGATGAGGCTCATTGTGGTGATGGTGCCCTGGCTAAGGACGCAAAGCTGGCCTATCCCAAAGGCATTGCAATCTCCAGCGACAACATTCTTTACTTTGCTGATGGCACCAACATCCGAATGGTAGATCGTGATGGCATCGTAAGCACACTAATCGGCAACCACATGCACAAGTCACACTGGAAGCCCATTCCGTGTGAGGGCACACTCAAACTGGAGGAAATGCACTTGCGCTGGCCCACGGAACTGGCTGTGTCGCCAATGGACAACACCCTCCACATCATTGACGACCACATGATTTTGCGAATGACCCCCGACGGACGCGTCCGTGTTATATCTGGCCGTCCACTGCATTGCCCTACCGCCACCACAGCCTTTGATACAGACCTCGCCACTCATGCAACTCTGGTTATGCCGCAATCTATTGCTTTTGGCCCGCTGGGCGAGCTCTTTGTGGCAGAAAGCGATTCTCAACGCATTAATCGCGTGCGCGTTATAGGCACGGACGGACGTATCGCATCGTTTGCGGGAGCCGAGTCGAAGTGCAATTGTCTGGAGCGCGGATGCGATTGCTTTGAAGCTGATCACTATCTGGCGACAAGTGCTAAATTTAATACCATTGCCGCCTTATCTGTCACTCCCGATGGACATGTACATATTGCCGATCAGGCTAACTACCGCATACGCTCAGTCATGTCCAGCATCCCCGAGGCGAGCCCATCGCGAGAGTATGAGATATATGCGCCAGATATGCAGGAGATATATATCTTTAATAGATTCGGACAACATGTCTCTACTCGTAACATTCTAACCGGTGAAACTACATATGTCTTCACCTACAACGTGAACACATCCAATGGAAAGCTCAGCACCGTAACGGATGCGGCGGGCAACAAGGTCTTCCTTTTGCGAGACTACACCTCTCAAGTGAATTCAATTGAGAATACCAAGGGCCAGAAGTGCCGCCTCCGCATGACTCGCATGAAGATGTTGCACGAATTGAGTACACCAGACAACTACAATGTCACCTACGAGTATCACGGACCGACAGGATTGCTAAAGACAAAGCTTGACTCTACAGGACGCTCCTATGTGTATAACTACGATGAATTTGGACGTCTAACTTCAGCCGTTACACCGACTGGTAGAGTCATTGAACTCAACTTTGATTTAAGTGTAAAGGGCGCTCAGGTGAAGGTCTCGGAGAACGCACAGAAGGAGATATCCATGCTAATACAGGGCTCCACGGTTATTATTAAGAACGGAGCCGCAGAATCACGTACTTCTGTGGACATGGATGGTTCGACCACGAGCATTACACCCTGGGGTCACAATCTACAAATGGAAGTTGTTCCCTACACAATTTTGGCTGAGCAGAGTCCACTACTAGGCGAGAGCTACCCAGTCCCAGCCAGGCAGCGCACGGAGATTGCCGGAGATCTGGCCAACCGGTTCGAATGGCGCTACTTTGTGCGACGCCAACAGCCTCTCCAGCAGGGCAAGCAGAACAAGGGAGCACCGCGTCCGGTCACGGAAGTTGGACGTAAACTGCGTGTCAATGGAGACAATGTTCTTACTCTGGAATACGATCGTGAAACGCAATCGGTTGTTGTAATGGTCGATGACAAGCAGGAGCTGCTCAATGTGACCTACGACCGCACCTCGCGTCCAGTTAGTTTCCGCCCACAGTCGGGTGATTACGCTGATGTTGATCTCGAGTACGATCGATTTGGACGCTTGGTCAGCTGGAAATGGGGAGTGCTGCAAGAGGCCTATACATTTGACCGCAATGGACGCTTGAATGAGATTAAGTATGGCGATGGATCATCAATGGTTTATACCTTTAAGGACATGTTTGGCTCCCTACCCCTTAAAGTGACCACTCCTCGACGCTCAGACTATCTACTGCAATATGATGATGCCGGCGCACTTCAAAGCTTGACAACTCCACGCGGTCACATTCATTCCTTCTCGCTGCAGACGTCACTCGGCTTTTTCAAGTATCAGTACTACTCGCCAATTAATCGACATCCCTTCGAAATCCTATACAACGATGAGGGCCAGATTCTAGCCAAAATACATCCACATCAATCCGGCAAAGTCGCTTTTGTACATGACGCTGCAGGACGCCTGGAAACCATTCTGGCTGGACTTTCGAGTACCCATTATACTTATCAAGAAACTACTAGTCTGGTGAAGTCTGTTGAGGTGCAGGAGCCAGGTTTCGAATTGCGTCGCGAGTTCAAGTACCACGCAGGCATCCTCAAGGACGAAAAACTGAGATTTGGATCAAAGAACTCACTGGCAGCGGCTCACTACAAATACGCCTACGATGGTAACGCTCGCTTGAGCGGCATTGAGATGGCTATTGACGACAAGGAGCTGCCTACCACTCGCTACAAGTACAGCCAGAACTTGGGCCAGCTTGAAGTAGTGCAGGATCTGAAGATTACCCGCAACGCTTTTAATCGCACCGTAATTCAGGACTCAGCCAAACAGTTCTTTACCATTGTGGACTATGATCAGCATGGTCGTGTTAAGAGCGTATTAATGAACATCAAGAGCTTCGACGTATTCCGCTTGGAACTTGACTACGATCTTCGTAATCGCATTAAGTCCCAAAAGACAACCTTCGGCAGGTCAACAGCCTTTGACAAGATTAACTACAATGCGGACGGACATGTCATTGAGGTACTGGGCACCAACAACTGGAAGTATCTATACGACGAAAACGGCAACACCGTGGGTATCGTCGATCAGGGCGAGAAGATAAACCTTGGCTACGATATTGGGGACAGAGTTATCAAGGTGGGCGATGTCGAATTCAATAACTATGATGCACGCGGATTTGTTGTGCGCCGAGGCGAGCAGAAGTACAGATACAATAACCGAGGACAACTGATCCACGCCTTCGAGCGAGACCGCTTCCAAAGCTGGTACTACTACGACGACCGCAGCCGCCTTGTAGCCTGGCACGACAGCAAGGGCAATGTGACACAGTATTACTATGCAAACCCTAAGACGCCGAGGCTGGTCACTCATGTGCATTTCCCCAAATTAGGAAAGACCATGAAGTTCTATTATGACGATCGGGACATGCTGATCGCACTCGAGCATGCTGAGCTGCGATACTATGTGGCCACTGATCAAAATGGCTCGCCACTAGCCTTCTTCGACATGAACGGAGGCATTGTGAAGGAGGTAAAGCGCACGCCTTTTGGGCGCACCATCAAGGACACCAAGCCCGACTTCTTTGTGCCCATCGATTTCCATGGCGGACTAATCGATCCCCATACAAAACTGATCTACACCGAGCAACGACAATACGATCCAACTGTGGGTCAGTGGATGACGCCACTTTGGGAAACGCTGGCCACCGAAATGTCCAATCCCACCGACGTATTTATCTATCGATACCACAACAACGATCCCATCAACCGTAACAAGCCGCAGAACTACATGATCGACCTTGACGCCTGGCTGCAGCTCTTCGGCTACGAGCTGAACAATATGCAGAGCAACAGATACACCAAGCTGTCTCAGTACACCCCACAGGCCACCATCAAGTCGAATACGCTTGCACCGGACTTTGGTGTTATCTCCGGTCTGGAGTGCATCGTCGAGAAGACCAACGAGAGGTTCAGCGACTTTGACTTCGCGCCGAAGCCACTGCTCAAAATGGAACCCAAGATGCGAAACCTGCTTCCACGTGTGAGCTATCGTCGGGCCGTCTTTGGCGAAGGCGTTCTGTTGTCGCGGATTGGAGGACGTGCTTTAGTCAGCGTGGTGGATGGCTCTAATAGTGTGGTACAGGATGTAGTTAGCTCGGTGTTCAACAACTCCTACTTCTTGGATCTGCACTTTAGCATACATGATCAGGACGTATTTTACTTTGTCAAAGACAACGTACTGAAGCTGCGAGACGATAACGAAGAGCTACGCCGCCTTGGCGGCATGTTTAACATATCAACGCACGAAATCAGCGATCATGGTGGCAGTGCTGCAAAAGAACTACGTCTGCATGGGCCCGAGGCAGTGGTTATCATCAAGTACGGTGTGGATCCCGAGCAGGAACGACATCGCATACTCAAGCATGCGCACAAGCGCGCAGTCGAACGTGCCTGGGAGCTGGAGAAGCAGCTGGTGGCAGCTGGCTTCCAGGGCCGTGGCGACTGGACAGAAGAGGAAAAAGAGGAACTCATACAGCACGGCGACGTTGATGGCTGGATCGGCATTGACATTCATAGCATACACAAGTACCCACAGCTGGCCGATGACCCCGGTAACGTGGCCTTCCAACGCGATGCCAAACGCAAGCGCCGCAAGACTGGCAGCAGCCACAGGTCCACTTCCAATCGACGACAGCAGAAATTTGGGGAGCTGACTGCGTGAGTGGAGGAGGATCTAGAGAGTGAAGCTAGCAATGAACCCATGGAAGAGTATGACGGGCCGGAGGACTACTTGATAGCTGTGGATAAAGCTGTCCGCATGACAAACACCGAGGCAGCCGAGGAGCAGTTTTTGTAATTACTTAGGTGAAATAAAGCAGCGATAAACGGTAAGCGATAAGCGATAAGCATTAAGCACAACACACAAAAAAAAAGAAAGAAAAAAACACGACACAGTTCAATTTAACTCATTAATACAGACTTTAATCGCGTTTAAAGTTTAATATTAGTAACCAGGCAAACCCGAACACTATCAAAGAACAAACCAGCAATTCACGTAAATTTCTATAAATGTACGTATACAGAACAAATATATGTATGTATGTTGATGTTGAGTTTAGGGTAACAATAGGGATATGTTTAGACCATGTGCAACATTATATGTATATTTTATAAATCTGGCAAATCTAATGCAAGGCGAGCACCTCCTTTCAAAGAGAGCCCGCCAGCTCGTACGACAAAGAGGCGTATAAAGTAAACATTCTTTCCTTCGAGCATATAGATTTGTAGCATGAAGGAGGGCTAGAAGAAAACATAGAACTCTGTCGAATTCTCTGAAGACAAACCACGTTTTTCTCGGTATCCAAAATCCGAAGGAGAACCGCCTTTTTGATTCAGTCTACTGAAGTCTTATTAGCCAGTTGCATTCGATGTCAGACAAGTATTACACAAAAAAAAAAGAAAAGAAACGAAATAAATTACGCATATTCGAATAGGTAATATATTAATATATATCATAAATTAATGTAAAAAGTTGAGAGTCCCCCGCATAAAATGAAAAACAAAAGAATAAAGTAAAGAACAAAAACAAATTCAGATGCAAGTGTAGTATTCCCTAGCCTAGCCCATACTCGTATGGTAAAACGAACTTAAAAGCTGCTTCATTTTAATAATGCTTTGTATATTGTACATATACACACACACACACACACACACACTTACATATATAAAAACAACTACAATACTTAAATATGCTTTAACACTCAGCGCGCCATTTTTGACTGTATTTTTTTTTTCGTATTTTTTTCATTGAAACCCCTTGATTTTAGGCATACGTAAATCGTACGTAGTCGTGACATCTTTTGACTCATATTTTAAGCAAATGCTCGAATTTACTCAAACGCATACACTTAAGTTTGACAGCCAAAAATCAAAACACTTTTGGGTCAGCTACCCTTACCAAACAAACAAAATACTTACATACTCGAATTCCTACATACAATTTATTCTCCTATCATTTTCACTGATTTTATAAACCGAACTGTTGAATTCATTTCGAAGGCAAAATGCATTAAAACCTTTTACAAATTGTGATATATTTCTAAACATTTCGTTTCACAACTTGAAATGTTACATAAATGTTGAATCGAAGTAAAGCAAATCGAACCGAAACGTTTAAAACAGCAAAGTACTTTACTTATTCGTGTGTTTTTAGTTTTTTTTTTACGTAGTCTATTAAGGTTTTAGTTTTTTTAAAATGCAATATTTAATTTAAAAGTTTTGCCATGTTAATTTGTAAAAGCAATGCAGTTTATAATGCCTTTAATCCAATGCTAGATTAAGATCGATCCTAAAGAATTTTATTATTTTTTAATTATTGCAACTTTCAAAGCATTTAATTTTTCAGCCAACCAAATTTTATATTCTGTCTTTTAACACGTCACTTTGCTAAAGTGTTTTTGTTTATAATTATTCACATTATTAAACTATTTATAGCTGAAACTAAACTATTGACTATTGAGATATAAATAATCTAGCAATAAACGTAAGAACGGATACTTAAGTCTTGAACATAATATAATACACAACCATATGAGATACACATTGTAATATATACACACTCAACTACACATCGTTACTAAGGATTAGGCTAAAGATGAAACTCATAAGATCGAAATATAGCACTTAACTAATGTGAAAGTGAAAAAGGAGTTAAAAATAAAACGTAGGAATTAGCTAAAGTGTTAGTAATTTTATTAAATAAAATTATATATAATGAAGAACACATTTAATAAACATTACAAATATTAAGTCTAAGCAACAAATAAAACAAAATACATATAATATAAAAACAATAAACGAAACTCATATATTGTATACATAAGTATGTATGTATGCATCGATCGTGTCATGCGAAATGTTGTGTAAAGAAAAGCATAAAGAAAACGTAATTTTCATGTTTTCCAAAACGATTAAACAAAAAAAAACAACAACTATTTTACACAAAACGAATTGTAAAGTAAAATGCAGCAAACGTATATAAATGTATATGTAGTAAAATTAAGCAGCATTATATTAACCAAAAACCAAAATCAAATTATTGAAATCAGCTAAAACAAAATATTAATTGTGACTGAGAGAACGAAGAGAATAACCATCTCCGTCTACTCAATTGTGCTTAAATTTACTATGTATCTTTTGTTCTTCAAAACGAAGTGTACATTTTCCGATAAACAAACACGAACAAACACACACACACACACACACACACACACACACACACACACACACACACATACAATTACAATTCGTTAAGCTCATGTTTAGATTATGTATTGGTACAGACAAACTTATAGCAGAGAAACGTTGATAGAGCTAAATGATAACCCTTTGATAATAAATAAATTATGAACAGTACTTGTATTAAATGTACGAAATTGTCACCAACACCTTTGCATGAATCATGCGGAGTGAAACAAGTCTAAAGGTCATGAAAATTGAACAAAAGATACTCGAATGCAAAGCAGAGATCAAACACATACAACACATTTATGGCAAGCCGGCAACTATGATGCAACCATATATATCTAATAATATAACGAATAAAGCGATTTCAATAAAATAAAAATTAAAAAAAAAAACATGGAGAACCTTTTACATTTTATATAAATGCTATTCAAAAAAGGTAAGAAATTAAATCTTGAATTTTATCTGATCTTTCAGATTTATATATATTTTAGTATTTACTAACGACAAGGTATCTTTAGCTTAACCTAAAACTTATCTAGTGTAGCTCGGCTCGGACTATCTTTTCAAATTTTAGTTTATATCTACTGCTCAATCAGGTTTTTTCTAAACTTTTCCCACCCATTTTTCAGCTCTCTCATACACAGTGGAACATATTTCCCTACGAAATTAGACGCCTCTGGGTAAGTCCTACTTATTCGTCCGATTGAACCCATTCAAACAACATTTAAGAAAAGGGAATAACAAACTTATCTTGCACTGTCGGATAATTGATTTCAGTTAATATTGAAAATGTACTATTGGCACAAAATTAATGAATAGTATCAATTACAAACAATTTTCCCCCATCTAACAGTGGTTGTTGACCCACCTAGAGCTTATTTATCTATTTGTTATTTCGTCAAGTTGACCAAGCTCATTACGAGTAATTAAGGATATATTCGGCAGGCCAAAGATTTAGTACCTCTTAGACATTTGCCGGTTTTGCAGATGTCTTGCAGAAAACGCTGGTGAGAATTCAAAATCATTAATAGTCTCGCGATGCTGTTCATTCACTTGCACGCCGGAAAGCTCGGCCAATTGTTTAATACTGTCAATGACAATCGGTTTATCACAATTAGGAGAGCGCCAGATTGGTATGGGAGTGCCCCAATACCGACTATGGGAAATCTATAAAGACAATCAATTTTAATCACATAAGCTAATCACTATTCAGCACAACAAAACATCTACTTACTGCCTATTCTTACTGCCCATCGCTCACCTTCACAGAATTCTGTACCCCGTAAGTCTGGCATATGTATGTTCAGCACGCACGAGTCAAGACAGCCCGTCTTGCAGATTAGCGGAGTGTCTGGGCGCCAACAGAAGAGGTAGCCTATGTTTTACATGGCCGCTCAAAATTTCAATTTCCCGGTAACCTCTAAGCAGCTGGCTTTTAGGAAGTGGCCGGCAGCCATTCAACTGCAGAGTACGCCGGCAGGCTTTGCCCACCGGACAAATCGCATCGCTTGTCACTAGATATGGCCTTTCGCCGGGTAGACGCGGAAATCATTCTCGCCAAAGTAGAGCGCGTTAAGAAATATGCCTATAAAAGCTCTAAGTACAAAACATATGCATATCGAATACACCGCTGCCGGCCTATCGATAAAATATTTATACAGCCCGTGTCTGTAGTAATGTTTTAGTAATTTGCTTGTTGGTATTTCGTACAAACCAGTATAATTTTGTTTTCTTGATTTGGTCACACTATCTAAACTTTGGTATTTTGGGCATACCAGACCATTCTCGTTTTCATGATTTGGTCACACTGTCTAAGCGTTGGTATTTTTGACAAATTGGTATGTTTTTGTTTAAATGATTTGGTCACACTGTCTAAAAGTGCATAATTATCATAGTCACGTGTCATAAGCAAATTAAAGGTAAGAAATAGAAATAATAGTATATATTTAGATCTTTCACTTTAAAAATACGTGCGCCGTCATTAGATGGTGTGTTTGATGCACTTTAATGATGCTAATTACCTGTGTTTAATAAATAAACTACATCTGAGTCGAAAACGTCGTGGCCTCGGAATGGTTGCACGAATATACAACATAAAGAAGGCCTCAATCACATTAAAGCGTTTTCCCAATATCAACGTAAGCGGCCTAGTTTCCATTGCCATCGGCAACCAAAATACAAGTTGCACTGGAAGCATATTTCGCGTGAGGGCAAGTGCACTTGGGCTGGCCCATTGAACTCGCCAATAGACAACACCCTGCACATCGTTCACGATCACATGACACCCGACGGACACGTGTGTGTTATATCTGACTGCCAACACATCCTACAATATACACCTGGCCACTCGCTACTCTGGAGATTATGAAAAAGGAAATAATCCAAAAGGGTTCAGCGCGGAACTATGTCGTCTTTAGATTGGCGGAGTTATGTTTCTTTATAATCTCATGCAGGCCAATTGAGCTCCTTGAAGAAATCAACATTTTTAATGCTGTGCCGATTTTCAAGTCTTTCGCGAAATCTAAAATGTATATCTTGTCAAAATCGCACGTAATTCTAGCGATATATTATATTTAAAAGAAATTAATTAATTTTTCATTCTGTCTGTCAGCCAGCTCTACCAAGCTTATGGACAGAAATATATTTCGTATCGTCGGTACCTGAAAATGAAAAATTGTAAAGTTGCTGCTAAATCTGGATCGATTCTGTCTATTTTAAAGACTTTAATGAATCCTTAAAGGTATTTATTCGACACATTTTCGTTACAAAAAGAAACAAATAAATTTCTTATTTTGTTTTTTTCAGCCTAATCTGAGCACAAAAACTGTAAGGTAAAGTTCTACAATTGTGTTTATACAAATTCCTAAGAAGGCAGACTCCCCCGAGAAAGCAGCTTTTCATAAAAACATTTTCATATTGTCTACCTAGGTCAAATTAACAAAGTCTTAAATTGTGAGTGGCTTAGCGGACAAAGAAACCGGCGCACAGAAAATAAGCAAGCGATCAAAATGCGAGTGTGAGCGATGCGCCACACTGTTTAGCATACACACCCACACAAACACGTGTATGCGCAGAGATGAGCCAAGCCAGAGATAAGCAGCACCTGTTTGTGTGTGTGTTCGCTGTCATTTTTCTACTTACGCTCACGCGCTCACGATTCATTTTGACGCTGATCGCTGATTGGTCCAATCAATAATTGCTAGCAATCGTGGCCTCGCATGGTCGTTTGCGTGCTCTATTTTCTGTGCGCCGTTTGTTAGTTCACTGTGGACCTGCGCATCTTTACTTTGAGTTAATTTGGCCCCGTGAGTCAATCTGACATGTTCTTAAACTGTGAGTGATTATTTAGTTCTTTTTTTATGTTGGTACCGTCTTTTTTTTTTATAATTTACCATTTTGAACTGGACGGACTAAAACTTAATTTATTATCTAATATAATATTTAAATATTTATATATAGAAATTGGTGAACAGAAAATGGACATGTCTTATTTTGACCTATTAGCAGCCTGCAATAGCAGTCATATACATATACACATGCATGTACATTTTTGTCGATAATCTCTGCATATAAATGTTTAAGTGTGTTTTCGCAATTGACATCTTATTATGATTGTCTTGTGCTCATCTACTTTTGAATAGTACTCACTCTTTTAATATGTTTGCATGTAAATCGTTAGTAGCTATCCCGAGCTTAAAAAAGTGTAATATTCCTAGGTTCTTATTTAGCCCAGATACTAACAAAAAAACTATTCAAAAAGTTTCCACGCGAATTATGTCGTCTTTAGAGCGGAGGGATTATGTTCTTTTCTAACGTCTTATTTCCGCGCGGCACTTTAAAATTCAAGGCATATGTGCAAATGTATGACTTTTTAAAATAAGGATACGTCCTTCATACAAAATACGTTTTAAACTAATTTTTCAGTTTGTATTTTTCAGCCAAATCTGCCATGGACAACATATAATCAGCAAATGATCGCTATTCATGGTACCTAGTTAAACTATATAACGTTAGTTATTCCATATCATGGATATAGTCATAGCGAACCTAAAGGTCCGAACTCTCTCAAAATGCCCAAGAAATGGGTCGAAAAATATATATGCTTTTATTTTACAGCCGCCGCCCCTACATGGTTTCTAGTTGACTAACATATCCTTGGTTATACCATACCATCGATATATCCTTGGGAACCTAAAGGATCAGATCCCTGCGAAATATGCATTGAACTGGTCCAAAAACATGTATGCTTTTTATTTCAGGAGCCCTTTTACATTAGCAGCAGCTGTTCTTTACCAGCCGCTTAACATCACTCATTTTACATAAACGCTACTTAACAGTACTCATTTTAATTGAGTTACAGTTTTGCCCCTTAGGGCTATGCAATAAAAATTTTTATTCGAAGAAATCGTCGACCTTCTGGGCATTTCTGTTCGCCTGGTACTTTGGCAGATTTTTAGAAAAATTGGATTTTTGACCTTTTTTTTTTAATTTTCCATTTTAACCACATGATCCTTGGGAAAAAATAAACAGGAGTTTGTTTATTCATTTAAATATTTTTTTTATTGTTTTAATCTAAAAAATTGTTATTTTTATGTTATTTTCCTAATTGACATCAAATAAAGTCCGATCCTGGAAAAATGTCCTTTGTCACTTTTGCAGGTCCTTGTAGTCCTTAATTTGCCAGTCTGAAACGATAAAGGCATATTTAAATAAAACAAGGCAAAAAATATAATAAAGGTATTTGATTTAAAGAAAATGGGCCATAACTCGGGCATGTCCTTTCAGATTTTCAAAGGACATGGTGCGTTAGGATCGTATAGACCCACTGCATCGATCTGCATCAAAAAAATAGGGGGTCATCTAGGAATCATATGGCACGTAATTTGACTTGTAAAATTTCAGTCGCGGAGCACACGGAAATGGGCAGAAAACACATATCCTTGAATATCTACCAAACTACAAGGACGATCCTAATGAAATTTGGCCACGTGGTAGCCCTAGTTAATACAATTATTTTGACACATGACTCGCAAGGATACGCAAGGATTCGGCCGAGTTATGGCCTATTTTTTGTATACAAAATTGTCCTTAAAACTTTTTTGTCCGAAGGTCTTTCGTCCTTTGGGATGTAAATTCTTAAATGGGATGGCGAGGACTATCTGCCGGCCAAAGGACATCCCGATAGCCCTTCAAATGGCGAAGTTAGCCCGGATATTTTCGATTTTGGCCAATTTTGCGACTAAACCCCTAGGAAAAATTTTGGTGAAATTTTTTGTTGAATCCTTAAAATCCTTGAATGCCGATCGATAGTCCTACTCCCCACGAGTTCAAAAAGGTATATCCTTCCGATATCCTTAAGGATTTGGCCGAGCTACGACTATTTAAAAAATGTCCTTTTTAGAAAATTGGCCATATCTCTGGAACGACAAGGACGATTTTATTATCCTTTGGCCAGTTTATGGTCCTTGTTCATGCAAATTGTTTGACACAGGACTTGTAAGGATCCGCAAGGATACGGCCGAATTATGGCTTTGTTAATTTACAAAATGATTGTACTCATATCTAGGCTGTCTAAAGGACTTTCGTCCTTTTTATTGCATATTCTGAATCGGGAGGATGAGGACTATCGGTTGGCTGAAGGACATCATGATCCGCAATAATACGGCCGATCTACAGCCTTCTTTCTTTACAAGTATATATCTCTTTTATTCAGCTCCTTCAAGGACTTTCGTCCTTTTTATTGCATATTCTATGTTGGCAAGGCAGGGACATCATGAAAGCCAAAGGACTTCAGGATTGTGCTTGAAATGGCCAATTTATGGCCTAATTGCTAATTAATATCCTGTTTGTACAGATAAGGCGATATCTCGAAAACCAGAAGGACTATTTTGATATGCTTTGCACATTTGGTATCCATGGTCTTACAGGAGTCGTCAGGATCCAAAAATTGTAGCCGAACTTTGTACGGACTAATGTTTCGTTTTCTCAGCTTTTTGAAGGACTTTCATCCTTGCTCTATCGACTCTCTATTGACCAAAGGATATCAGATATTTGAAATGTCCAAATTGTGGCGATTTTGTGTTCAATGCTGGCTTTTTAAGAAAAAATCCCATTTGAAAACCCCAAGGACGATTTCGTTGCCTTCTGGCCAGTTGGTAACTGGGGTCTTTACGTGTCGCTTAACACAGGACTCTGATTTGGGCCCAGTTTTTATTAATTGTTATAAAGATAATTATGTCCTTCGGTCATATACTAGCTCTAGCAGGAAGGCAACCGACTTACAATAACTTAGGTTAGCAAAACAATGAGACCTATATGTGACTTACCTAGCTGTGAATACCTGCAATCTGGAGGGCAAGGCAGTACCAGGATACCCGACGTCGTCCACAGCCCGTGACACCTCATCTCACCGGAAGTTGGAAATACTATCGGGTTATTTGTTAATAGCAGGCGGGAGATAAAGAATGTGCTTCAGGGTGCACAATAGAATTGCGAACACGAGATCAAATTAGTAATATATCCCAATATCACCTAAAATAATGGAATAATGTAATATGAACAGCAACCCGTTAAGATTTTGCTCTTACCTCGTATCACAGCGAGCAACTTGATGTGGCGCTATTTCAGTCTACGTTAAAGGTATTTGTCCTCCTGCTCTTCAGGCACTTGTGTCTCGCAATGCGCAAACGTTCTCTATGAATTCCAGTGCCTGACTAAGTGCATTCGTGCTGCGAGTCAAAACAGGTACCTTGCCGTTCAGAGTCATATCAATTGCCTGAAGATCGCTTACTTTCTTCTGCTGAACCACCACATAAATAGTGTAATGGAAGCCGTAGAGAGCGGAAAGCACATCCAGGTTATGTCGCAATGCGGACCATCTGGCGTACTTCCTGAATTATAAGCTGCGCCTGCTTTACCTTTTGCACAGGAGTAGTTCCTCGTTTGGCGTCATATCCACTGGCACCAATATCTAGGCACTACTATATAAAAGCAGTACAGTTTAATCTATGTTGTAAGGAACTCTAAAAGGGACTCACCAGCAAAATTCGGTACCCAGTAAGTCGCAGTAAGCCATGCCTTTCAGATCAGCGTCTGTATGAGAGCCAACAAAAGAGCTCTGTATGCTTCACCTGGCCGCTCGCAAACAAATTTTCGCTCGCCTTTAAGTAGCCAGCTATCCATCTTCTTAACTATTGGCCCGCAGCCTCTGCAGGAAGCCGGCAAACTGTGTCCGCAGGACAAATCTCTTCACTAGACTCACTGGTAATGCCCGCCGCCAGTCAGACGGGGTAATCATCCTCGCCAAAGTAGTCCCGTTATAGAATATATGTATAAAAGCCAAAAGTCCGAGATTTATATGATGGCACCATGTGCATGTGGAGTGCATTACTATCGAGCTGGTTGAGTACCACCGGACTATCGATAACATAAAAATACTGTATTGGTATTTTGTTGATATATCGTATTCGGTCAGACTGTCTAAACTTTGGTATTTTAAAAGTCGGTTTATTTTTGTTTACCAAATTTGGTCACACTGTGTAAAAGTGCATTTTCATTATAGTTACATTGTATTAGCAAAATTAATGGTAAGAAATCAAAATAGTATATATTTAGAACTTTCACTTTAAAAATACGTGCGCCGGTATTAATTCACGTGTGTGACTCTCCCGAATGATGTTAATTTCCAGTATTTCATGTATAAGCTACGTCTGCGTCGAAAACCATGGTATGTCCAATTTTTCGCAATTTGCAAAAAATTGCTGTGAAGTAAATTGTTTTGAGTTATTGTGGCCTCGGAATGCTTGCACGAATATACAACATAAAGATCACCTTAATCAAGTTCACCTTTAAGCGTTTTCCCAAAATCTACGTAAAAGACCTAAGGGCCATTGCCATCGGCAATCACATGCACAAGTCGCATTGGAAACCCATATTGTGTGAGGCCCAAACTAAAGCAGGAATAAATGCACTTAAGCTCGCTGTGTCGCCAATGGACAACGCCCTGCACATCATTCACGATCATTTGACACCCGACGGAAGGGTATGTGTTATATCTGACCGCCACCACATCCTAAAATAGAGACCTGGCCAAGCACGCCACTCTGGTTAAGCCGAAATATATTGCTTTTGTCCCGCATTGGTTTTAGGCATTCGGAAATCGTAAGTAGTCGGGACATTTGACTCATATAGCAACTGCTTAAATTTACTCAAACGCATATACTTGAGCCAAGAATCAAAACACTTGGGCCTAATACCTTTATCAAAGAAAATACCTTCTTGAATTCCATTTAATTTAATTGTTTAAAACCAAAATCTACAATCTCTTAACTTTTCACATTACTACTGCTTTTGTTTATTCTCACATTATCAAGCTATTTATTGACTATTGAGATGCAACGCAAAGATCAAACACAAATCTCTCTCATTTATGACAAACCCGCATATATTATACAATCATATCTATTTAAAAATATAACGAATAAAATGATTTCAATAAAATTAAAATTTCAAAAAGAAAGTACTATTCAATTTTATATAAATGCTTTTATATATGGCAAGATTTATTTGCGTGGAATTTGATTCTATTGATAACAGACGGACATGGCTACCTCAAATTTGTCTAATGGGCGATGTTTCTATTGTTTTTATACAAACCCCAATACCAACATATTTTTAAGACTGTTTTCGTTTTGCACTAAAATGAAGACTGTAATGAAGCTCAATTGCCACTTTTTCAAAAAGTTTATTTCTTTTACCGATTCGGCATACAATAAATACCGAACAACCACCGTCATTTTTGACATCTCTTAGAAATTCAGCTCCTACAATAGGCTGTGGCCCTTTGGGTTCTCAGTAAATATTGTGCTTCCAGACGGCTGATTAACAAAATTAGTATACGGCACCGGCAGGACTTCGAAGGCCGGTGCCTGACTAAGTGCATTCGTGCTGCGCGTCAAAACAAGTAGCTTGCCGTTCAGACTCTTATCAATTGCCTGAAGATCGCTTACTTTCTTCTGCTGATCCACCACATAAATGGTGTAACTGACGCCGTAGAGCCCGAAAAGCACATCCAGTTCTCGACGTAATGCCGCCAAGGTGATGTACTGCTTGCTGCTACCATCCTGTAGTAGAATAGAGGCCTTGTTGCTGTTAGCGAATCGTGGTTGCAGCTCGCCATCAAGGGTTACATTAAGCCAGGCGAGATTGGGCAGCTGCAGCTCCTCAGCAGAACAAATTGTCAAATTAAGCTGAACACCTTTAAGGTCCACTAGCTCACTGATGACAAGGCGCTTTGAAGCGACTTGCTTTTGGTCAAATGGAAGGAACTCGGACTTGACGGCCCCCTTTATCATGGGCGCATAGTTGACCAAAACCTTTTGCAGTTGTGCCAGCGCCTCCTGCGCTTCCTTTTTCGCATCAGTACTCTTCAAATCGTAGTAAATGATAACCGGGTCCGTAGGTATCAGCTGCGCCTTCTTCTTTAGCTTTTGCACACGGTTGATAGCTTCGCGCGCCAAACCTTCTTCGAGTAGTTCCTCGTTGGGCGTCATATCCATTAGGACCAAAACCTCATTATCGCTGTGTGCCTCAAAGTTTCCGCCAACCTTGTCGGAAGTACAGTAAATGATGCGCACTTCCTCCAGCTCAATTCGTTGATCCAATATGCTAAAGTAGCCCTGGGCTACGTGCTTCTGAATCTCGTCATCTTTGAGTGCTTTAATGGCGGCCATTACAGCTTTGAAATTGCCCTTCAGGCGCTGACCCAGAGTCTACGTCCGTCAAAGAATATTGATCAGTAAGAATTATAAATTCGTATTTGAACATCAAATGCTCACCTTATGGTCAGGTTCCGCACGCAGAGTTACTCCGTACTTTTCCTTGTCCGAGCTTAGAGTCAGCTTGCGTACATTAAGCTCGCTTAGTATGAAATCTTGCAATGTTTCAATTTCAGCCAGTGTTTGTTTGTCCTTGTGAATAACAATGATTTCCGAAATGGGATACTTGACGGGCAGCGTGCGACGGTCTCGCATAACGCGACCTAGCTCCACCACCGACTGCATTAATGCCACGGACCGCTCGATGTCGCTGCGGATAAATTTCTTTTGGCTAACAGGCATCATTTGATAGTGTACAGAATCAGCATGCTCCAAGCTCCCTGAAGGCTGAAAGAGCACCAGTCGCTTGAAAATGTACTCCGTTAAATATGGAGTGAAGGGCGCCATCATCTTAACCATAGTATACAACACATCATAAAGAGTATCTAGCGATTGTATGCATTGCTGGGCGCTCAGCTCGCCCTTAATGCGGCGACGATTCAGCCTCACGTACCTAAAAGGAAAGACACAAAACTGTATTCATGATCTAAAAAATGTGTAAATTTGTCCTACCAATTGGTCAGCTGGTCAATAAACTTGGTTAGTTTGGGCACCACCGTATAAAGGCGGTACATTTTCATCTCTGTTGCAAAGAACTCCAAAAGGGACTCCTTAAACGACAGGATCCACACGTCAATGACCGAGGCATGCTCCATGTTTTTCAGATGCCTTGAACGCTCGTAGGTGTACTGGGCCTTGCCGTGCAGCTCCTCTTTCTCGTACCGCACAATATTTTGGAGCAGGAAGCGGTAGGCGTTGTACCATGGCAGAAATACATCCTTAATTATATCACGCACGCCCTCCTCCTTAAAACGCAGACTTTCTGCGCGCACAACGGGCGAGTTGATGAGATACAGACGCAGAGCATCCGCGCCGTACTTGTGAACCACCTCCATGGGATCCGGGTAATTTTTCTTGCGCTTGGACATTTTCTGCCCATCGGCGGCTAGCACCAATCCACTGGCAATTAGGTTCTTAAACGGAGCCTTATTAAATAATGCCGTTGAGATTACCAGGAGCGTGTAAAACCAGCCGCGTGTCTGGTCAATACCCTCGGCAATAAAGTCCGCTGGAAAGTTATTCATAAAATCTTTTTCATTCTCGAAGGGAAAATGTTGCTGAGCGAAAGGCATCGACCCGGACTCGAACCAGCAGTCAAAAACAGGCGCAATTCGTCGCAAAGGCGGATTCCCGGGAACCGCTGATGGGATTTCAATGTCATCAATAGTTTCGCGATGCAGATCATTCACTTGCACGCCGGAAAGTTCGGCCAATTGTTTAATACTGCCAATGACAATTATTTCATCACCATTAGGAGAGCGCCAAATTGGTATGGGAGTGCCCCAATACCGATTACGGGAAATCTATAAAGATATTAAATTTTAAACACTATTCAGCACAACAAAGGGTCTACTTACAGCCCAATCTCTGGCCTCCTTTAGCCAGTTGCCGAAACGCTTCTCCTTGACAAAGTCCGGTACCCAGTAAGTCTGACCACTGCAGGCTAATAAGTTTTTAGACATATGTTCGACGCGCACAAACCAAGATGGCACCGCCTTGTAGATCAGCGGAGTATCTGAACGCCAGCAGAAGGGGTAGCTATGCTTCACCTGGCCGGTCGAAACCAAATTTCCGTTCGCCTTTAAGCTGGCTATTATGTGCTTGTCCGCATCCTTAACATACTGGCCCGCAAAGTCGGTCACCTCTGCAGTAAACCGGCCGGCTTCATCTACAGGACAAATCACATCGCTTGACTTAGTGATAATGCCCGCCGCCAGGCAGACGCGGTAATCGTCCTCGCCAAAGTATGGCGCGTTATGGACTATACCCGTACCGGAGTCCTCCGTAACATACTCATCCACCAGCACACGATGGGCCTTTACCTCGACGCCACGTTTGGCAAAATAGGGGAACGCTGGTTTGTAATGCAGATCCTTAAGCGTTTGCCCGGCAAACTTCTCCTTCAGCTCGTATTCCGCCTCGGTCTTGTACACATAAGACAATCGAGACTCGGCCAAAATAAAAAGCCGATCGCTTTTTACATCACGCACCTGCAGGGAAAATAAATTATTTACTCTCATTCCAATCAGATGTATTAAAAATATGAGATATACTGGATATATATACATTTACAAGGATAGAGACACAAAAATTAGCATTTTTTGAAGCCCATGCATATTCAATGGCAAAAAAATATTGGGTTCATACGGACATTGGACCAATGCTTAGTATACTAAACTATACATACCTTGACATAAGTCATGGTGGGGTGCACACAGCAGGCGAAATTAGACGGCAGTGTCCAAGGTGTTGTGGTCCACACCAAGAAGTAGGTATTGGGAAGCGTAATCGCCTCAAGTGCAACAACTACGCAGGGATCAACGACCTCTTTGTAGTTCTGGTTTGCCTCGAAGTTTGATAACGAGGTGGTGCAGGCAGTAGAATAGGGCATAACCTTTACACCTTGATATACCAGACCTTTGTCGTAGAGCTGCTTGAATATCCACCATATTGACTCCATGTACCAGGGGTACAATGTCTTATAGTCGTTCTTGAAATCAATCCAGCGACCTACGCGCGTCACAATGCTTTCCCACTCGTCCGCATAGCGCATGACGATCTTTCTGCACTCGGCGTTGTACGCCTTAATGCCCATCTTCTCGACATCCTCTGGACCCTTGATGTTGAGCAGCTTATCGATCTCGAACTCCACGGGCAGTCCGTGGCAATCCCAGCCAAATCGCCGATCCACATGGTAACCCTGCTGGTAGGCATATCGTGTGACGATATCCTTAATTGTGCCAGCCAGGATGTGTCCATAGTGCGGCAAGCCGGTCGCAAAGGGTGGCCCATCGTAAAAGGTGTATCTAACAATTAAACCAAAATATATAACAATAAAAGATGATGCAATCGACAGTACTTCTTACTTCGGCTTTCCCTTCGACAGCTGGCTACACTTTTCGAAAATTTTCTCGTCACGCCATTGCTTCAGCACATTTTCTTCCTCAGCCGGAAAGTTGATGTTCTCAGGAACTCGACAAACGTCGCTGCGTTTCAGTTTCCCTGAAGTGCTCATTTCTGTCAGACTGGATAAGTAAGCCGTAATTCTAAGCTTTAATTAAATGCAAATCAATGCTCACCTTCCTTTTATTAAAAGCCAAAAGTACGAAATTGATGTGATGGCAACAACATGTGCATATCGAAGGCACCGCTATCAAATTGGTTAGAACTATCGGACTATCGATAAGACTAATATAAAAACCGTGAATGTCTGCAGTACTTTATTGGTAATATTTTGAGTAAATTGGTATATATTTACTTTCATGATTTGGTCACACTGTCTAAAATGTGTACATTTATCTTAGCCGTGTTTTATCAGCAAAATAAGTAATAAATAGAAATAATAGTGTATATTAAGGTCTTACAGCTACAACAAAAATACGTGCGCCGACATTAGTTGGCGTATTTGACGCGCGTTAATAATTTTAATTACCGGCATTTATAATAGAACTTGCGTCTGAGTTACATTCGCAATCTAAAACAATGGCACGCCCAATTTTTCCCAATCAGCAAAAGATTGCTGAGAAGTTAATTATTTTAAATGATCGTGGCCTCGGAATACTTACGCGAATTTACAACATAAAGAAGGCATGCGGCGATACCAAATCGAAGCCAGGCTTTCTGTCTGAGAAGTCCCTGGAGTCCTCAATCAAATTTATTGTCAAGCGCTTTCCCAATATCGACGTGAAAGGCCTAAGTGCTATTGTGAATATCAAGGCAGAGATAATTAAGTCCCTTTCGCTCTACTACCACACTTTTGTCGATCTGCTCGAATTTAAGGATAATGTGTGCGAGTTGCTTACAACAATGGATGCCTGCCAGATTCACTTGGACATAACACTCAACTTTGAGCTGACCAAAAACTACCTGGATCTAGTAGTAACATACGTATCTTTGATGATAGTGCTCTCCCGTGTCGAGGATCGCAAGGCAGTGTTGGGACTCTACAACGCCGCCTATGAGTTGCAGAACAACCAGGCAGATACTGGCTTTCCTCGGTTGGGACAGATGATTCTTGACTACGAAGTGCCGCTTAAGAAACTAGCCGAAGAGTTCATACCGCACCAGCGTCTGCTCACAAACGCGCTTCGCTCTCTGACTTCCATCTATGCACTACGTAATCTTCCAGCAGACAAGTGGCGCGAGATGCAAAAGCTCAGCCTAGTGGGCAATCCGGCTATTTTACTGAAGGCAGTGAGAACGGACACCATGTCATGCGAGTACATTTCGTTGGAAGCCATGGATCGCTGGATCATATTCGGGCTACTGCTGAACCACCAAATGCTCGGCCAATATCCGGAGGTAAACAAGATCTGGCTCTCCGCGCTGGAAAGTAGTTGGGTGGTAGCACTCTTTAGGGACGAAGTGCTGCAGATCCATCAGTACATTCAGACAACCTTCGACGGAATCAAAGGCTACAGCAAACGAATCGGCGAGGTGAAGGAGGCCTACAACACGGCCGTTCAGAAGGCAGCTCTGATGCATCGCGAAAGACGGAAATTTCTGCGGACTGCGTTGAAGGAATTGGCGCTTATAATGACCGATCAGCCTGGCCTGTTGGGACCCAAGGCAATCTTCATATTTATTGGACTTTGTTTGGCGCGTGACGAGATTCTTTGGCTACTTCGCCATAACGACAATCCGCCGCTGCTCAAGCACAAAGGTAAGAACTATCATAATCTCATTGTGCCCCTACTAATGAGGATCACTAACAGGCAAGAGTAATGAAGATCTGGTGGATCGGCAACTTCCGGAGCTCCTGTTCCACATGGAGGAACTGCGGGCCCTGGTGCGCAAATATAGCCAGGTAATGCAGCGCTACTATGTGCAATATTTGTCCGGATTCGACGCGACGGATCTGAACATACGCATGCAAAGCCTACAGATGTGCCCAGAGGACGAGAGTATCATATTTAGCTCGCTGTACAATACGGCCGCTGGCCTTACTGTCAAGCAGGTGGAGGACAATGAATTATTCTACTTTAGGCCCTTCCGGTTGGACTGGTTCCGCCTGCAAACGTATATGAGCGTGGGTAAGGCAGCACTACGTATTACAGAGCATATGGAGTTGGCTCGGCTGCTCGACTCGATGGTGTTTCATACGCGCGTTGTGGACAATTTGGACGAAATACTAGTGGAGACTTCGGATTTGAGCATATTTTGCTTCTACAACAAAATGTTTGACGATCAATTTCACATGTGCTTAGAATTCCCGGCACAAAATCGCTACATAATTGCATTTCCATTGATCTGCAGCCACTTTCAGAATTGTACACATGAAATGTGTCCAGAGGAGCGACATCATATACGCGAACGATCGCTGAGTGTGGTTAACATATTTCTGGAAGAAATGGCCAAGGAGGCAAAGAACATCATTACTACCATTTGCGACGAGCAATGCACCATGGCGGACGCCTTACTCCCCAAGCACTGCGCTAAGATCTTGTCCGTTCAGTCGGCACGCAAGAAAAAGGACAAATCCAAATCCAAACACTTTGATGACATACGCAAACCAGGCGACGAATCGTATCGCAAGACCCGTGAGGATTTGACCACCATGGATAAATTACACATGGCTTTAACGGAGCTGTGCTATGCCATTAACTATTGTCCCACAGTCAACGTGTGGGAATTTGCCTTTGCACCGCGCGAATATCTCTGCCAAAATCTCGAACACCGTTTCTCGCGTGACCTGGTCGGCATGGTAATGTTCAATCAGGAGACCATGGAAATAGCCAAACCATCGGAGCTGCTAGCCAGCGTACGAGCCTATATGAACGTTTTGCAAACGGTAGAGAATTACGTACATATAGACATAACCCGTGTGTTCAACAACTGCCTGCTGCAACAAACGCAGGCACTGGACTCCCACGGGGAGAAAACAATTGCAGCCCTCTACAACACGTGGTATAGCGAGGTGCTGCTACGCCGAGTTTCTGCTGGAAACATTGTCTTCTCCATTAACCAGAAAGCGTTTGTACCCATTTCGCCGGAGGGCTGGGTGCCGTTTAATCCGCAGGAGTTTTCTGATCTAAACGAATTGCGCGCACTGGCCGAGCTAGTGGGCCCGTACGGTATCAAGACGCTGAACGAGACGCTCATGTGGCATATTGCCAACCAAGTGCAGGAACTGAAGTCGCTGGTAAACACCAACAAGGAGGTGCTTATCACGCTGCGCACTAGCTTTGACAAGCCAGAGGTAATGAAAGACCAGTTTAAACGGCTGCAAGACGTTGACCGGGTACTGCAGCGCATGACCATAATTGGAGTTATAATCTGCTTTCGCAATCTCGTGCATGAGGCGCTGGTGGATGTGCTGGACAAACGCATACCTTTCCTGCTTAGCTCGGTCAAAGACTTTCAGGAGCATTTACCAGGTGGAGATCAGATTCGCGTCGCCTCCGAGATGGCTTCGGCGGCTGGTCTGCTATGCAAGGTAGATCCCACGTTGGCGACCACATTGAAATCCAAAAAACCCGAATTCGATGAAGGCGAGCACCTGACCGCATGTTTACTTATGGTATTTGTGGCCGTATCAATACCAAAGCTGGCACGCAATGAACATTCCTTCTACAGAGCTACCATCGATGGCCATTCAAATAATACACACTGCATGGCGGCTGCTATAAACAATATCTTCGGGGCTTTGTTCACCATCTGTGGGCAGAATGATATGGAAGATCGCATGAAGGAATTTTTGGCTTTAGCCAGCTCATCGCTGTTGCGTTTGGGCCAGGAATCCGACAAAGAGGCCACTCGCAATCGAGAGTCCATTTACTTGCTGCTGGATGAGATTGTTAAACAGTCGCCATTCCTTACCATGGATCTATTGGAATCCTGTTTTCCATATGTCCTTATCCGTAATGCCTATCATGGTGTCTATAAACAAGAACAAATAATGGGCCTCGGTCTATAGATATCATTGGGCAAGCGGTTCCAATGGTCCCATATTCTTAACCGAGTATTTAGCTATATAGTTTTTGATAATCGATCATTGTGCATTATGCTTACGAATAATGAGTATATTATTCTATTGTTAAACTTAATAATAATATCTGATATATGATAATAACCCAACTAAACCCATGTCTGCGCATATAAGCCAAAAGTATTCAGCATTTTGATACATTATTTGTATAAATAAAGTGCATATGCAAACCAAATGTTCGGGATAAGTGTATTTTGAGGAAATCCTCTGACGATTCTGCACACATCAATTTAACACGTGTACATGGTAATTGCATTATTTTTATTTTGTTACTCATGTATATATTAGATGTGTATTATTTGTTATTATTTTCTTTACGTGTTTATGGGAAAATTCTTCCACAATATTAAATTATTTGGTCACGTTTAATGTTACTTCTTAGGTTGGTGTACAAATACATGTTGTAGGTAAGTAATAAAATATGTTTAATTCTTCTCCTAGTGAATTTGATTTCCCTAGCAAATACATATGCATTTTGACTTAGTGAAAGCTTTTTCTTTTGTAAATTTCATTAGAGAATGCTCAATTCCACTACAAGATTTACTTGCATATATCTGATATTTCTTATTGTATGGTTGTAATACCATATTGATTTATCGGAGATTTAAAGTATGAATTATACAATGGTGCGTTAATTATCTTGTGATTATCTCTGTTTAAAGCACGTAGCTGGCCTTTTAAATGTAGAAATAAAAATAGAATTGAATATCCATCTATTGACTGCATCTATTAGGCAAAAATAATGCAATAAACAAAAGTTTATAAAAACAAAAATATTTAATCGAATCGTTCGCGACGGATCTTAACATTGTGAAACCAATCAAAACACACACACAATCGTATTCAGCTGAAGTTCTACAATATTTTTGGTTAATTATACCACAATCACTACTTGCTGCTAGAAAGCTGGCTGTATCCAATCGTAACAATGTTGTTAGTTATCTACATTTAAATATTTAAATTATTATACACATGCTATATTATCATTTGCGCTTCTCAATATTTGACTAATCCTTATTATATGTTTAGAGTTTCAGTTTTGTTCGAAAAGATTATTTTATATTTAAATTTCTTTTTTTTTTTTTTTTTTTTTTTTTGCAATCAGTCAGTTTAGGCATCTGTTGACTTACAAATTGTCGTCATTGTCTTTTATCAATACAAAAAATATATGAAAGTGAAAGAAATAACATAAAATTAATCGTTTTGCTGTTTCTGCCTCTTTTTGATAATAAATAAAATTGCATTGTTTGCTAAAAGGTTTTAAAGCTCTCGAGTACAAAATCGTGTTAATTTAAAAAAGCTTCGAAAACTCCTTGCCCTACGATCTTAAATTTCTTCCTTGTTTTGTTTTCTACATTTTGCTCTCAGGCTTAAACGCTAATTAAGCATAATATATATTTATCGTAATATTAATTCCACTATGACAATCTTGTTTTGCATATAAAAGCCTACAAATATGAGTTCGCGTTAAATATTATGTCTGCCTACACGGCTGTTCCTTTGTGAATCCTAAATGAGCTAAACGAACTCCTCCTGCTCCAGCCAAGGATGCTGCAGGCACTCCGCCGCCGATGCACGTATGACAGGATTGTATTCGAGCATGGGCAGCAAAAAGTCCGAAAACTTCTTGGCCTCTACGGGATCCCAATCGTACTTCTCCACAAGCACGTTTAGCAAGCTCCAGGGCTTCAGTTTGGTAATGTTACGTAAACTACCTACAAATGAAATCCGTTGACAATGTTAAGTCAAGCTCCACCACTGCAGTGACTCGCACTTACCATAGCTTGTAAAGTACTTCAGACCGTGCTTGCCACGTAGTATCACCGATTGCGGTATTGATCCGAGAAGCTCCACGATGTGCGCTAGATGATCCTCGTCGCGGCTGTACGACTCTCCTGCATGCGGATCAAACAGATAGTCGCCAGTGGCCAGCTCGAAGGCCAGGCACGCTGTGCTCCAGATATCGGCGGTATAGTTGTATGGCGCACCCAGCAGCACCTCAATCGAGCGATACTGACGCGTCTGTATGTCCTCGGTGAAGTGATGGTACTGTCAAACGAATGTTAAGATATAGAACGCAAATGGGATTTTAGGTAATCCGTGATTCAAAGTTGCCTCTGAAAGCGCGATCTCTAATACATTGAGTTTTACTTAAAACAATCGAAATAAGTGGTTAATCGATTTACAGAAACAGGACAGATAGACTTTCAATCATAAATTATTTTTTACTGACTTTAAGACTAGAAATGTAAAAGGCAACCAAGACAAACGGAATTGCAGGAAACAGTCATAATTGTACTCACGTCGTAGCAGGCATTGCCCAGATCGGCGATCTTCACCCTCACGTTGCTGTTGTTGATCAGCGATTGTATCGTGTGCGTATAGGATTGACCCTGACTCTGGCTCTGGTTCTGCGAAGGAATTGCATTGGCATTGACATTTAGTTTAGCGGTGGTTGTTGTTGTTGTGGTTGTTGCTGTGATTGAAGTCGCATTGCCAGCTGTGGTTGTTGTTCTATTATCACAAATGCCAATGTTGCTATTGTGATACAGGTCTGATGCAGTTGTTGTTGTCGTGGTTGTTGTGATGGTTGTTGTTGGTACAAGATGCGTGAACGAGTACGTGCACGTGCTGGTAGTGCTGCTGGAAGCTGGAGTTGGTGCATTGCCAGAGGCACAGGCAGAAGCTGATGTAGATGTGGTTGAGGTTGAGGTTGTGGTGGAGGTTGAGGCGGAGGTTGTGGAATTCGAATTGGAAAATGTTGAAGTGAGCGTGGTGGGGCTGTTGTTGCTCTCTGCCGTGGATGTGTTGTTGCTGTTGTTCTGTTGTGTCGTGGGCGTGCACGTGCTTTGAGTATTGGAGTTAACAGTGGGGTAGGTGGAGCAGGAGTTGTTGGTGTTCAAGTTGCTGACTGTGTTGGCATTGGGCAGCTGCATTATATACGTGATTATTTTTATATATTTTTTTTTTGGTCACACAAGAAAAGAAAAGAAGAAAAAGAACACACGATTTTTCGTTTGGTTTTGGTGCAATGCAAAAACATTCATTAGATCGTCACAGTTGGACATGCGCAACCGCAGTCCATCTGTGAGCATTAGTTAGTTATAAGTATAAAGGTTTCTAAGATATGATAGATTCGACCTCAGCTTCAGCAGTTAATATCACGCACTACATTCACACTCTTTCATGCGTTGCAACAATAATATTATTAAGGCGCAGCTATTTGAATCATTATCTATCTCCATGTATATTGGATGCTGAGTTAAAGCTTGTCGAATGCAGCACAACATTTAGAACATTAATACCGCACAACAATTATATTAGAGCCCTGCATCGAGTCAACTGATTATTTAGCTCGAGCGAGTCAAGACTCAAATGTTTTCGGCTCGAGCTGCAAAACTTTAAGTCGGTGAACTCGACTGTAAATTCGATTTAACCGAATAAATAAGTTTAAGCTGATCGAACTTGCTGCAAGTTCGATTGTTTAGGTTGTGTTCGAACTAATCTTACAACGAACATGATGCTAACTCGAAGTATAAATGACATTGAGTTCGATCGAATCGTTAAAACAAAGCCCCAAAGCTCGAGACGTTTGGTTTTCGGTTAAATCGATTGAGTATTCGAGTTTGATAAAAATCAATTACCCGATGGAGGGCTCTTATACATATCTTAGACGTATGTTGGCTAAGGCGCAAATATATATGTATATGAACTATGAAGCATAATGGCGATAAGCAGGTGAATGGTTACACACAATAACATCTAAAGCTTAAGCCAGTAGCATCGGGTGAATACACATAACACATTGAGGCATATTTAATAATTGGATAGATTTAAGGGGGAATGTTTGTATTATTGGGCATAAGTTAGATTGAGTATTAGCATAAATAGATAAGTGTCTACAGTTTCATGTAATATGTATAAAGAAAGAAGCCGTAGAAGAACATAACTTAGTTAAATACATACAAATTAAGGCAATTAAGTGGACGCAGTCTACTTTGAAGTCCACAATTTAACACTCCCTAGACTCAAACAGGGGGAAAAAAACATAATAAAGGTAATTATTATAATCGCTGATGCTTGGATTAGTAACGACAACTTTGAACTAAGCGTTTAATTGCTAAACATCACACGAGGCTGTGGGAGCAGAGTTGGATACTTTGTATGGAGTCTGCTGTCCCTCAGACTCGAGGCTAGCAAAGCATCGAACACAATTACAGAACGAACGAGCGAGCCAACTGCGAAAACTATCCACCTCAGGGGTAAGTACTATGCACTTTACCTTATCCGAATTAACGCAAACGTTATTTTTACTTAGACTAACGTCCTGCTCGGTAGGAGTGTCGCTGGCAATGGTGCTATTGTCACCCAAGGTGTCGGTATCAGTGTCCTCATCACGGTCAATAGAAGACTGTCGGATATGGCCGATGCCAAATGAAAAACGTTAAAAGAAAGCAATATGGAAATCAAATCAAATTAAGAATACATTGCCGGCGTGATGTTCTTGCTCGGTGTGGCGAATAAGTAGTAAGTACATAAATACATATACATATTCATATATATATATATATACATACGTATGCGTACATACATACATCAGAGTAGATTAAGTTAGTTTGTGGTTTGACTAGAGTGCAAAATGTTATTGGATGCAATCAAACGGATCGATTTGTCGTTGAGCTGAAAATTGTAATGTAATGTAATTGCTGGATCTGGAGACTCACCTTGGCAGTGATTTTCTTCTCGGCACGATAGCGATTGCTTAAATTCGTGGTTCCTCCGATTATGGGACTGTCAACGCCGCCCACGCTGACCAGCCCAACGCCGTTGCACTCACTGTCGCCCAAGAGGCTTGAGAATTTGGAGGCCAGCGAGGATGTGGTGTTGGAGTTGAGCGTCGACGAGGTGGTAGTGTCGTCCTTGTCCAGCGAGGACATGACTACAGCGGCCAGGGGCGTCGATGATGTCGAATTGTTCGCCGTGCTGTTGCTCGTGTTCGTTGAGCCATTCGGCTCGATCAGCGGCCATTTGGCACGCGTCTTCGTTTGCTTCTCAATCGAGCTGACTGTGGGCGAGGGAAGCGATTAGCGGGGAATGGCGAGCATATTATTTGTGTATCTTACTGTATGAATCGGGAAAGTCCGCGCCCTTCACGCGCAGGCTGTTGATCTCATCGTCAATCTGCTGATTCATAGCCGCCGCATTGTCGATAACCAGCAGAATATTCTCGGGCTTAATGTCTGTGTGGATAATGCTGCACTTGCTGTGCAAATAGTCCAAGCCCTCAAGGACCTGCTTAATAATGTTGCGCACCTGCGCAATGGCCAATCCCTGGTAGTTGTTCTTCACAATCAGCTTGTACAGGCTGCAGCCCAGCGCCTCGAAGACCAGGCAGGTGTGCACACCGTTCACACCACGAACCGTAAAGTGGTTCATTAGTCGAACGATTCTCTCCCTCTTCACATCGAGTGGATCTGCATCGCGGATCGCCTCCAGCAGGCGAATCTCATCTGCTGCAGTCTCGATATAATGCGGGGCACTCTTGACCACTTTAAGAGCCACGTACTTCTCATCTCTGTGGTAAGCAAATGCAAGCGTGTCTTTAGAAATGATTCGATTGTAAACATGTTCTATTACTCACTTCAGATCTCGACATAGCCACACAGTGGAGAAGTGACCCCAGCCAAGTTTGCGCACAACACGAAACCGATTGTCGAATATGTCGCCAATGACGACCGGATGATAGCCACCACGGCAATACTGAGAAGCATCTTCCTGCTCCTCATCGGAGCCGTAGAGGCTGCTATCCGGCGAATCTGGGTAGATTTCATCTGTGGTGCTCAATGTGCCGCGTGGCTCCGAGCTGAAAGCAAAAAGAAACCGGAAAGTGGGGTAAGTTAACGTTTGCGACTTATAAGCTCAGCTATATCTAGACATGAATTGAATATTAAACTGGTGTTAGCTGTGAATCCTGAATATATGTGAATTCTTAAAGTTAAACTAAACTGAGCCGACGCACATGAGTGCAACCAAATCCTCAACTTCGTGATGATCCACTTCGGCGGCTACAACGTCCATGACAATCGTCTTAATTGGCTGCTGCTCCACAATAGTCGGTGGTAGACTAAGCGTCAAGGGTTTCTCCCTGAGCACCAGCGTATTCTCCAGTATTTGTTCTCTGGGCGACATAGGCTCAAAGAATAATGCGGAATTCCTGTTTCTTTTGGGTCGCTGTGAATGGTGGCGCAGGGCAATGAGTATGGGCCCAGCGGATACGCATTTGCGCTTCTTGGTAAATCGCTTGCGACGTCTCTTTTCCTCCACCTCGAGCATTGCTTCCATGGCCGCCTCCAGGGCTGCCTTCTTCTCCTGCTCGGAAACAAAGTTGAAATCACAGCTCAGCTCTTTGGTGATATTCGGCGTGGTCGTCGGCGATGTATCGATCATGGTTTCACTGCTGCCAGGACGCAGCAGGTGCATGAGATAGAGGAAGAGTAGCAGCAGGCACAACTGGAGTCCATAGACAAATATTTCATCTTGCGAAAGTATGCTGATGATTTCACCGATATTCTGGCTAAGCATGCTTGCAAAGATTGAAACCAGGTGATAGTAGTGTGCATAATTCTGCCGGATCAACGGCCAGTCAACGTTCCACAGCTCGTTCCAGGCAAGCCACGGCCATTCACTTGGCACGGTGACATTGGCCTCCTTCGGACAAGTGGGGCCCAGCTCCGTGCCGTGCATCCACCAGTTGTCCATTTCGATAGTGTTTTGAGTTCGTTCGAATATTGGATTTTAGCGCTTTCGCCTACATTGCACACAGGCGCAGTAATGTGGGCGTGTCCCAAACAAGGGCGGGCACAGCAGAAGGGGCTGGCGACGACCTTGACTTTCCTATGCGTTGGCGGCCTGCGTTAGTTTTAGCATTGTTTTTGTACGCTCGCAAACAGTTTGCACTCTTTAATTTCGAAGAGGCCTTACATAACGCGCGTGTCGAGGATGCGGAGGTAAATAAATAAATCGCACAACGCAGAAATTTGAATTATGAAAAGTATCTGTATCTTTCGCTCGACAACCGTTTGGTTCGCTACCATTTCCGAGAATGCCGAAACGCCTGTGTTTTTGTATTTGCCCACCAAATGAGCGAGCCAAAGTCAAAGAATTCAATTCGTGTCGTATAGCGAGTATTTTCTGTTTTCTGTTGTTGCTTTTATCAACTACAAGCCAAATCCATCGAGTATCCATGTGTGTGTGTGTGTGTGTGTGTGTGTCGAACTGAGCGACTGAAGAGCCCCACAATAGTCAACCAAACACATATGCATACCTTTATACATATGTACGTATGAGTGTGTATACTTGCATACATATACATACATACGTATTTTGGCGTCATTATCCAATGTACTTCATCAACTCGTCGACGTCGTAGAACCACGCGGCTGCCAAGGCGGCGGCAAGTGCCGGTCATGGAAATCACACAGCACAAGCATCGAGCGTCAAACAGCATCATCATGATCATCATTATTATTGTAACGGATTTCTTAGGCACTGTGCCAAAATTGGGTCTATGGCATTGCCGAACCGCTGTTTTCTTTGAAACAATATAAAATGTGTGTTGAACTTTCAGTTCAATTGAAGCCAGGCGACATGCATTTAAAGTTTTTAAGTGACTAAGCAGTCTGTGAGTATTGATTTCTGCCCCCATTTCAGTCCTCTGAGCCAGTCTTTGTTACATTACAAAGTGCCTGTGGTTGCCTCTAATAAAACACTTGTTCCTTGCATGACTCACCCTAATGCACAAAGAGAAGCACGCACCTTACATCTCTGCTTTGTTGCCTGTTCGCTCAATTCTCCGCGGCGGCTGCTTCTTCATATTATTATTTATAGACTATGCATATATGTATGTGTGTGTGTAAATACAATAAATCGCTGTAAAAATAAGTGCAAATAACACACGCGCTTCGTTTAAAATGTGTGCAGTTGTGTGTGTGTGTGTGTGTGTGTGTGTGTATAAATATATTGGCCTGTGAGAGCGTGAAAACGTCATAGTTTTCCCAAGTGCAGCAGACGTAATAGAGATGGGCGCGGGCTGTGGCTATTTACGTCGTTCATCGAGTCGAGTAAAGGCACGATGTGGCCAGAGGAGAATTAATAAAATTGATTTGAATATGGAAGCTATCTCTCTCCAATCTCGAAATATCGATACAAATAATGAAAAGAAACGGTTTATTGACACATAGAAGAGTCGCAGCGATTAAATAATAATGCCACTACACAAAGAAAAAAAATTATATTAAAAGTGTAGCATGTTTATTGGGATTCGTGCTAGGATAAAAAAAATAATTTGTCTGTGCTGGTTCGCAATGGCGGGCATTACAAATTAGGCACGCGCTCATCTCTTTTCGGTACTATGTGGGAGTGTGATACTGCGGGGAAAGACGAACGTTTGGCGTCACAAGGTTATTTTGTGGTTAAAGCAAATTAAAAACGTAAACAAACCCAAGCAACCGTTGGATTGGTCAGTGCGTGGGCTTGTGTGTGTGCATGTGTGGGCGGAAATATGGCTCGCTGTAAACTCGCGTAAATATCGCAATTAATGTTGCAACTGTTGTCCTCTTGGCCGTTAATGCACCGTGGAGCAAGCATCAACGAAATGTAACTAATTTATATAACTTAAAAATATAGGATCTCTGATCCCATTAAGTGCATCTGTCTGCCTACTGTCAGTCTCTCAGACCAGCCACACGCCCTTTCGAAAATGTATGTATATTTGTGGCAGTTGCGCCCCACTGTGCGCTGCCTGGGAACGACAGCAGTTGGCTGACCTGTCAGCACAGAAATTGAGAGGTGCTCGTGGGCGCGATGCATTTAATTGGGCCCACGTTGCGTACACATATGGGGCATAAGTGTGTCAAATAGAAATAATGAAAGGTCTATGACTAGGTGGAGGCGGCTACTCACAGGCTGACGAAGGGTCCTCGCAGTGCTGGCATATCGCGGCGCCGATTGAGGGGCGGTGAGAGTGATAGAGAGAGAAAGTCCTGCTGGGCCTTGTCCTCGTCAACGATGCTCGTCGGGGTGCTGTAAATACGCGTCGTTGGCAGGTAGCCAATCTGCTGAAGAAAGTCGTCGCGGTACGAGAGCTTTGTGGTCGACTGCGAGGACGTCAGCGTGCCCAGCGACAGCGGCTGATGGGCCACGCCCGATCCGTGATGATGCAAGTGCAGATGATGTGCGGAAGTTACCAATGGAGTCGCCACATTGACATGATGATGCGCCGCCGGATGGAAGTGTGGATAGGGTATGGGCGCGGGCGCCGGAGTGGCCGCTGTACCGCCAACATAGCCAAGTCCATGGGCGTGCGACAGGAAAGGCGGCGCAATGATCTTGTCGTCAAAGCTGCGCCGAAAGCTGAACCCCTTCAGCGAGTTGCTGTAGTTGCGATGCGACAGCGGCGAGCTGCCCAAATCAATGCTAGCCGCCGGCCCGAGCAGCTTCATGGTGCTCAAATAGTTGGGCGAGCCGCCGCCCGCCGGACTCAGTGTTTGCGTCTGCGCCTTTCCGCTGGCCGTAGCCGTACCGCTGCCCAGCATGCTAAGCGCCGGCGAAGTGCGCAGCTGAGGACTGCCGCCGGCAGCTGTTGCCGCTGTGGTGCTGCACACCGAATTGCCGGCCGAAAGCGGCGGCGAGATGGCGCTCAGCGTGGAAATGCCGCTGTCGCTGCTGCATATGCCGGCCGGCAGTGTGTGTGTGTGCGTGTGCGTGTGTCCCAGCGATGTGTGGGTCGGCGAGATGAGATGATGCTGGTGCTTGTAGCCGCTGCCCGTGCTGCCATTGCTTCCACCGCCACTCCCACCACTGGCGGCGCTAACGAGGCCGGCCATGCCGCTGCTGGGCAGTACGGGAGCCAGCTTGGCAATGTGCCCGCACTGCGCCTGCAATATGCCCAATAGACAGAGATAGTAGCCCGAAAGTCTCCCACTCGTTTATAGTGTGGTCGTCGCACTTATTGGATTGCTGCGGTTTGTTGTTTCTGGAGCGTCGTCGCCTTGCCTAGCAGCTACATGGCGCCGATGTCGCTGCCGTCGTCCACATCCTGGTTGTCCTTTGTTGCTGTTTGCTGATTTCGATGCTCCTGATGCTGGGGCGAGTGACGCGTTTACGCTCCCACTGCAGCCAGAGAGTTTTCAGCCTCATTTTCACTTGGAGCCATCGCAGCCCGATTTCAATTCCTCCGTTTTATGTAGCATACTTTTGTGCGTAAGAAAATCAATGAAGCCCCTGCTGCCTAAAACATTTTATTGCATTTTAAGCACCGTTTTTCGTTTTTCACCGCTCGCTTTGCTTTGTAACCCAAATTGCGCATGAAAAATTAACACACACATGGACGTACACTATACACACACACACACACACACACATACATACAAAAGCGTTCGAAAATTTTTCTTCAGCTTTGCTATTGGCTAAGGTTTGGCTGTCGATTCTTCCGTTTAACCGTTGCTATTCGAATCGTGTGTTTGGCTAGCAGCAGCTGAATTTGTTCTCCTTTTCCCAATTGCAGTTGCACTTCACATTATCAATTTGTCCGATTTTGACTAAGCAGCAGGAAAATTGAAGATATTTCTGGATTACACCTTTGATTATTCGGTCTCAACTTTGCAATGCGTCGCACACGAACTCTCCGACTGACTATCGGTTTCTGACCCGTACAAACTCTGCAGCGAAGTTGCGCCGAGCCGTCTCTACTTACTGCCCAGCCTCAGGCCGCGCTCTCTCTCTCTAGCTCTCTCGCTCTCACTGGCAGAGCGCATGTGCCGGTTTTGCCGTTACTGCAAAGCCATTTGCACAAAGCACCAAAACAAAACAAACCAAAAAGAGAGCGAGAGCAGCTCAGCGAAGTGAAAGAGCTTACTGCCGCCAGAGTCAGCTGTCAAAAGCTTTATCAATCAGACAGCCGCTGCCGTATTTGTTTACCAATTCACATCAGTTTTCCAGAATTCATGGCATTTTTCTTCCTTATGAAGCTTTCAAAGGAATTGAATTGTAGGTAGTCGCATTTGTATACCCTTTCTGAGTCACGAACCAGGTTGAAAATCAAACAAAAGGTCGGATTGCTTTATATAAGTTATTTTTATTGATTTTTCGGTTTTATTTTGTTTCTGGCAAATTTAAATTTGAAAACAATTCTTTGATATTAAATTTAAATTTTTGGAAATGTTTTATTTTACTTGTACGAACAATAGATACACACGCAAAACTTTAAAATGGTATTTTCATTATTTGAAATTTATATAATATATAATATATGTTTGTATTGAATTTTATGTGTGTATACATGTGCTGGTTCTTCATAATTGATAGCGATGATATAATTTTGAAATATTACAACACTTTGGGACTAATTGCATAATTTACGAATACACATGAGACAACATTTGTTGGTTAATTCAATGAAATATGGTGTAAACAACAAAAGGCAAACTATTCAATGAAATTTGAAATAAATAATACAATTTGAAAAATCGTTTGAAATGTTCAATACTTAATGGACAATAGCGTACAGTTTTTAAATAAGTTTTTGGATAAGAATACTTTAAGGATTGGGACTATATTTAAATTTGATTGCTATTTATTTAGTTATTTTTCAAGTTCTGTCATTGGGCGCGATTCTAGGCTGTTTAACTTGACTTATATACATTTGCAGTTAACACAATAGGCCACAGACTAGAGCTCGATACAGCAGCATCAGCGCATCAGCGACCCATCGTTTAGCAAGAGCAACAGTTTATTGGATTCTTTACATATGTATATATATATATTTTAACAATTTTGTGTAAACTAATTCCGAAAAGTTGTTGGGCAAATGTACACACGCTTCATTTGCCACACGAAAGACCAGTTTTAACAACAAATATTTTTTTCTTAGCTAAGAGACGACTTGCTATGGGCACTCACACACAAATGCAAATTAATTCTAATATGGTATATGTGGCACACACATACATAGACGTAGTTAAAAGTAAAGCTTACTGTTTAGATACAATCCGATGCAATTAGATACAAGGGCCACGACCATCGACCATCGACAGTTGTGTTTACAATTTGGTTTTATTGGCATATCTTCTAAGTAGTTTAACACTTTGCTCGATCTTGCTAATTTCGAAATATAGTTACAATTCGCAGTTAAAGGGATACACATATATATGCATGTATATGAAACAATAACACTTTAGGTCAGTATCTAAGTATCATATGGTAATTGATTATATGCATACGCGCTGATTAAATACCTATCAATATATGTTATAGCTTGAATGCCTGAATATTAATTAATGCGTCCTATTCTCAATTCAAATTGCATTCCTCGTCATCGCGAACATTTTATGTATGCATCTTATTTTGTTCGTAGCAAATTGCATTTCGAATATTATTGTGAATTTCTTTCTTTCGGATTGATTAAAACGTGCTAGCTTTCGCTTTACAATTCAGATTATAAATTAGAGTTATGTTCTAAAGCTTATAATAAATATAAGTGTGTGTATATATATATATATATTTTTCGATTTATTGAACATACCAAATTTTTAACAATTAAAAGGAATAAAAAAGTGTGTGTGGCTGTTCAAAACGCTCTCATGAATTGGGTTTGTCTCGCTTGAAGCATGAACCTAATATTTTTGCTTAACCATATCTAGATGCAGGAAAAAGAGAAAGAGAGAAAAAAATAGAGTGATGCAGTAAAGACAAATTAAAATAACATAATTAAATATACTTATACAACATAAAACTAAACTCAATTACCAAACAATTCAATAGTTCAAACTGGCAGTGTGATAAATAATTTTCTCGCAAGTCTTTACCAGATGGCATTAAAAGAAAATCAAGAAAATGTCAATTATCTAAACAATTTGATCAACAAAAACATATATAACGTGTATTTACAATAGGCTGTAATTCCATGAGCAATTCATTTGATCTCTTTTTATGAAGACAATTTAGGTTTTCTTTTTCTTTAGTGATTTTGTTTAGAGGCTTTCAATACAAGTGCCGCAAGCCTATAGAATATATATATGGGTATTATATCGCACTCAGGGAATATCTATAGTTCCCTAGGCAGTGTTTGATAGTGCCCCATTTTAGTATATTTTGCTGGTTCTTGGAAAAATGCGATCTCATGATTTTTAATGGACGAGCTCTGATTCTTTTTTTTTTCTTTTTTTGGTGGATATTACCAAAAGTAACTAGTGAAAGAAGGGTGGAAAACTTGAATGGGGGACAGTGTATGACTAAGCGGCATACATACACGGTATATAGTACATACGTACATCCATACACACACACATATATATATGCGTATATGCCCTATCTTGTCAGATATTCGCCGTGAAAATGAGTGTCTAAAAATATACGTTCAGGTCCTATAACTGTGCTACGATTGCATGTCTGTGTGGTTGTTCGTGTGTGTGTGTGTGTATAGGAGCTTATTGCTAGAAGTTGCCTATTAATTGTTTATATTTGTTAATATATATTATTAAATATTGTGTTGGTTTTAACTCAACTCCCAAAACCAGTGTGGAGCGCAAAAAGTTATTATAGTATGTAGAGTGATTTCTGTATCAAACTATTCTGCAATATATTCATTCAAAAGATTATTGTGGTTTACAATATTTTAGATTTCGTATTTGTTTGTTTAACTATTTTCACGCAGAATTAACAACAAGTTCGATGGTCAAAGACGCTTTTTGTTAGAGTTAAGCTTGTTATTGTACTTCTGCAAAGTGTTCTTGAAGTTCTGTCTTTCTAACATTGATGAAGGATAATATCTGGGAAGTCGACATACTCGATTCCTTTACTGGTTGGTTAGCGGGGCCAACTGTTTATATACCTGGTGTGTATGTGGTCTGTTCTGTTGCGTTCAGCGACGTGTTCTCGTTGGCCGCCACCGGAGCTCCAGTGAAGGGATTAACGCCAACTGCAGCGCCGCTTGGTGGGGGCATGGCGAAGACGGGCTGACCACCAGCCTGTTCGCGCGGCTGTGTGGTAACAGGTGCGCCTCCTGCGCCCAGGTTGACATCGTCGAGATCAGCGTCCTCCTGTACGAACAATAGCAAATAGAATTCAATTAGAAGCAGCTCATTGAGTATATAACTAGATGTGTCTGTTTGTCGCTGAAGAGTTATCTGAATGGTTGTTATTCCGCGTTGTTTAGTCAACGAGTTTTCGGTTAGTAGAGAAAAGCCGTTTACAAAGCAATCAAATATTTACATAAGTGTATCATACAATGCTTTCAGCCTTGGCAAACTAAAATATCGCATACGAAAAAACTAAAATGAACTAAAACTACATGTTACTTGGTTTTACGGCACAACTTCGTTTAAATGAAAATATAATTTGTTAGTTAATTTACCCAGCAGCCTAGGGAACAGAACACCAACAAGCCGTGAGCTCTTGTCGCTTGAGCGCTTTACATGGGGTTCGGTTCAAAGATTTGCTCCGCTTCGCATTGTGCAATTTTGCAACTGAATATGGTAATCAATATTTCTTAAAGAACGTCTAAATTTTGTTACGATGGTTGGGTTAGTTAAACGTGTAAAAATACATTTGGGTATTTGCATCGTGGTTATTCGCCCTGAGATCATGCGGTACTCGTGCCGGTGACATTTTCTATTTCTATACTTACAAGACGTGGATTTTGTCCCAAAGTCGGTGGCAGATCGCTGGCCTCTCGATTGCCATCAGCGCGCTGGGCATTTGTTAATATATGGCAAGACATATCACATATATATGATCGAATCGGATCGTGTCAGATCAAATTACGACATATAGTACACGTGTATATGCATATGCGATATAGTTTAGAATGAGCCGCGCGCAGGCGCAATTGTGTGTGAGGTTGTAGGTGGGTATGATGAGTCGATCGAAAGGTGGTTTTGAGAAAAAAAAATAAACAAAATTAGAAACGTAAATTTGTTGTTTTGTTCTTTCCTTCACATACATACATAAGAGTGTACAAAAACGAAAAAGGAAAATCGAATTTAAAGAATACACACACAAGAAAACAATCAATCAATCTCATTATGTACAGAAAGTGGGACGCAAATAAAAGAAAAACCAAAGAGAAAAGCAATTGTGAGCTCTAAAATAAAAACGGAGGGAAATTCGCTTGTCTTTAAATGTTTACAAAATGCATATCAAGTTGTGTGGATTTGACTTTCAGTAATCATTGAATTGAATTTCGAGTGCGTATTTATGTATTAGTGGAGACTTTTTTCTTCTTTTAAACATTTGATGATTTTCGTGGTGTCCGCATTCATAGAGAAACAAAATTTATTCAAATAAACAAAGTTTAAGAAAGTAAACAAATCAATGTTGAAAATGATCGAAACATTTGTGGGTGTTAGTCGTGTCGTATATACCTTTGCCCTTGTCGACAACTTAAACTACATACTTACCTCAAACTAAGCAAAAGTATAGATAAAGTAGAGAGTAGTACTAGATGAATGCAAATAAAAAAATAAAATAAAAAATAAAATGAGGGAAAAAAGAAATGAAAACGCTCAAGCAATTGAAAACAAAAAATGAGAAATACATAATTTAAATAAAGCATTTATTGTTTGTGTGCCGAATTAGCCATTTGCGAAATGCCAGTTAAATATATGCATATAAATGGTTTTAGCTGGAAAACTACTTTTGACTAAACAAGCGCCTCACAAAAATCATCAAAACATGTCCAGTGTTATGTTGAAAAATATATATAACTTGGATTCTGGGTTAAAGTGCTGTGCTGTATATATATATATGTACACAAGCAGTGTGTGTGTGCGTATTTGTGTGTGTGTAAATGGTTGTGTACATGTATGTGTCTATGATAGAGCATTCGTTGGGTGTGTAGTGTTCATATTGAAATCGATTGTTTTTCTTGTATTTTTGTTGACTTTTTTTTTTTGCATTAAATCAGTTCTGAATGGTTAGTAGATGGGCAGGGGGGCGCAATCAATAACCAATAACCAAATCAAACATCACTCACATTCAAATGTGAATACTGGTCGTGCGACTCGTTCACCGGTGGTTTAAACTTGCCGCAACAGAAGTTGCAACAGCAGCAGCAGCAGCAACAACAACAGCAGCCCGTCAGCAATGTGCAGCAAATGACCAAGGCCTACAGCGAAAAAGAGAGAGAGATTAGCAAATGCCTAGGCACAGGCGAAAGGTGTTGAGCACAACACAACACTCACCTTTACCGCCGGCGATGTGACCACAAAGTACGCATTCACATTCTCCTCGCCAAACTGCTCGGCAATGTAGAGACCCAGTGAACCATAATTATCATAAATATTGCGTTTCGTCTGATCGCTCAGTATCGAGTGTGCCCGATTGACCTCCTTGAACTGTGAACGGATGCAGTTAATCGTAAAGGCGAATACAAATATATTCTGTTCTTTTTATCTTACCTTATCGGCAGCGTCAGCGTTGTCTGGATTTTTATCTGGATGGTATTTAAGTGCAAGTTTTCTATAAGTCTTCTTGATATCATCAGCTGTTGCTGTTTTAGGAAGTCCCAAGATTTCATAGAGCGAATCGCCCGATGTGCTGAAAACCCAAAAAATCAAAATCAAATAATGAATTAACAATCACAAAGAATACGCTTGAAAAGCGATCCATTCACACGGCTAACCTAAACAAGTTGCCACAGTGAGAACACAATTTATTTGTGTATTAATTATACATATATATATATATATATTTTTTTTTTGTGAAAAGCGAATTTGTTTATTGACTGTGGGGGCGCAGCCAATCGATTGCACAACCTAAATGTAATACAGTCCGGTTCGCTGAATATGCAATAATTGTAATCAATTGTTGTCTGCGGTTTGTTGTTTCTTAAGCGAAGCGGCAGAGTTAATTCCGAGCCCTGCACATTCTGATAAATGATACTCTATAGATTCGCGGGCTACTAGAACTCGCGACTGGCGACTGGCGACTAGCTACGATGCGACGTTGATGACTAAGCCTCGTCGACGGTGTTGCTGGGCATTCCACAGCAACAGTTAAGGGCAGTGCAGCACGCGATAGCGGGCAGCACACACACACAGACATACTCTTGCCCCTGTGGGTGTTGGCGTCACAAAATATACTCTGAGCACATTTGGCATTGAGGCGGGCCCCAGCTTGGGGACTGTTGGATGCGTACGCAGCTGTACACTGCCAGCCAGCCAAGATGTGAATACCTCTCCCCAATCACCCACCACCCACTTCGTTTCAGTTCAAGCTAACTGCAAATGTCATTTACATTTCGACGGCTGTTTTCTTAAGCAGCAGTTTTTTTACACTCGTGAAATGCGACAGAGTATATTTTCTCGCAGCTATTGATATTTGGGTATTTAAAAACACTCATGACAGCTCACGTCATAATATTATACCTCGAGGCGTGGCAAATCGCGAAAATCGAACATGTAAACTTGTAGAGGCAGAGTCATCAAATTTGGAATAGATAATGCCAAAGCTCAAAGACCAAATGAATATAGAGTATGCCGCAGTCAGTTACACCCGAGTACTTGTGTTGTCTACATTTTCTGAATTGGTTGGCTGCCTATTGTTTATATGGATGAGCAAATTATCCGAAGGGGGGCCTAATGCAGCTTAGCCGCTTTTACGCTTAACGGCAAATATACGTGCTGATAAGGGCAACGAGTCGGCCCAAGAAAATGGCAGTGCTTCGAGATAGCAGCACTCAAAGCAAAGTGGGCGGAAAGGGTGGAATTGCAACACAGCCAAGGCCAAGGACACTATTTACTAAAACGAGCTGCAGCCGCGTGGCCTCTGTGGAAAACCATTCAGAAGTGGGGCAAGGAAGGGTCGCTCGAGCATTACTCATAGCAAATTATAATTGTTTTTGTACATACATACATACATGTGTATGCATGTGCATGTGTGTGTTAAGAAGAATGAGAGCACAAACTGCCAAATATTTAGCCACTAAAACAAGCTATAAAGCTTGAAGTAGTTATAGATATCACATAACATTGACTGTAGGTGTGTGTGTGTGTGTGTGTGTGAGGGAGAGAGCACTTGTTGTTATCACAACCCATCAGAATTTGCAGGGCGCTTGTGTAATTTTTGTTGCGGCAAATACATGGCACATATGTACGTATTCACCAAATGCCGTCAATATCTCACGAATGCATCGCTTGAGAATAATTGTCCGCAGAAATTAGCTGCATTCACCTGCACACACATAGATACAAGCCACACACACACACGCATACAGCCAAGCAGCTGCCCCTCTCTCAAAATTTTAAGGATTTGGCTTTTGTTTATCCCAAGCCAAAGGAATTTAATTCAGCCGTTTCAGCAGCTGCTGCCTTGTGCGCTGCTGTTGTTGTTGCTGGCGCGCGGAAAATCAATTGAACGTCGACTGCGCTGCCGCTGCCATTGGCGTTGGCAATGCGCATCTGCCAGCTGCAGACGGCTGGCGTGTATGTATGTGTGCGCAGAAAAAAAAGGAACATGAAGAAAAGCGTTTGTGAAATTGTACTTACGACAGTTTTCTTTTATCCATGCCACCGCCACTCATGTTGCTTTTATTGCTGCCGCGTGTCTCTTCGATTGGATGTCACACTATTGTCAGCAATTAATAATTAACACTAGCTTTTTGCACGCACTCACACACTCGGGAAACAACACATTTGTTATATTTGTCACGAAAATTGTAAATGACTACGGCTACTACGGATATCGTTATCGATTCTGACTAGTGGTGTGTGCGTGTCCGTTTTATGCGCACGACATGCGAATCTATCGATAAGAAGTGTCGATGTATTAAAAATATAACACACCAAATAGATCAACATGAAAATAAAATATTACACGTAAATTGCACTTCAACAAATTCAAGGCTTACTCAATAAATATTAATTGATAAACAGTTTCAACAAATTCATCGATATGGAATCGCAACATGAGTTGTCAACTATTAGGAAAAACAAAAAAAATGTTACGATATAAAAAAAGTTTGTACTAATTCAAGTTTTTCAAAAACTACATGTGTTCATATATATTATAAATATAGATTGCACACATTTTACAAAATGTAAATAAATCCATTTCAATAAGCTATCGATTTCAAAACGATAGTCGCGGCAGCTTAACCCGATGCGAGTGTGACCATACATCTCGAGTCCAATTAGAATGTGCCGCTCTGTTCAGTGTGGATTTGTCGGTTGAAATTGTCGGTTGTGGTGGAGTGTGTAAGTGTTGCTCGCATCAAATGTCACAGCCCCAAAACATTTGCAACTGTTACACATTTTAAATTTACCAAAACAAAATAAAGTCGCGCGTGCCATGTTTCTATAATTTGGCAAATATTCGGACCGCAACTCCTAATATCTCTTTTGCATGCTCAACATCTCTAGCCTCAGACGTTCGCAAATGTTGGCGGGTCGTTTTTTTTAGCAACAGGTGTCTGTCAGCAAATGTGTTTTTGTTTTAATTTCTGTCCGCGCGATCGGGGTGTAATTGAAAATTGTGTTTATAAATTGATTGGGGCACCGAATTGGCGCTGCAACAGTGCAGAAAGAAGCGACTGAATGACGTCTGATGGACCAGAAGAGATCAGCACAGTATGTCAAAAATGTAGGACTAATAAATTATCGCGCCATCGCGCACTCGAGTGTTTCGTTGCAAATAATGAAAACAGAATATCTAGTTTTCGCATGGGCCGTTCAATTTTATGCGTACGTTTGAGTGCGTGCAATTTTTGTTGAAATCGCTTTGCTTTGCCACACAGAACGTGACAAAATTTTAAACAACACGCCAACAACAACAGCAACAACAATGAAAACATACATAAGTATTTTGAAATGTGTGTAAGTGTGCGGGCATGTGCATAAAATTAATAGAAAAAGTTCACAATGAAGTTAGGAGCCATGTTTTATGGCCTATTTCATACACCGACGCAATTTCCGTTAGAATGACTCCATGATTCCTTACTTGCCCACACCAATATCCACATTTCTATGTACGTGTGTGTGTGCATGTGTGCATATGGTACGGTAAGTGACCACTTAATGGAACATACTTGTACTTAAACACATGCATATATGCATACATGCAAGCATATGCAATTTGCTAAGTTATAAGTGTATGACAATTGGAAATCGAAAATCCAATTAGCATTCGCGCGCAAATGCAGTCGTAAGCGCTTAATCCTATACATATATGTATTTCCGATGCCCCCCCTCCCACTTTCAATTGAACCCACAAGAGCCCATTGACAAATACATAAATGCACGTATAGAGAATTCTTATGCAATTGCACGTAGCAACAACAACACCGCACTCGACGATTATTTAAATAAATTTCCCATGCAACAAGAATATAATTGATAAGCGTCATAAAAACAACAATAACAATGTCAACAGCTGCTGCCGAGGCAAAAGCTAAAAAAAAAATAAATAAAAAAACGTACAATCCAAAGCTTACAATGCAATTCAATTTTTTTTTGTTCCACAATTCAAATTAATTTTACGCGAGCCCCAAAATGAGTCAGTCTCAGTTGCAGGCCATGGCGCGTGGCGGCGGGGCATGCCTGTGTGTGTACATTGCCGGTGGCAGTGACGCTGGCAGCGGCGCCAGCAGAGCAGCATCATAAGCATGCTGCGACTGACGGCATTTCTTAAAATGTGATCAAAAAATATGTGGGCAGAGAGGGTGGGCGCAGCAGTGGGAGTGCTGACCCGCTGTCAGACCCGTTTCTGCCGTTGCTGTTGTTGCTGTCATTGCTGTTGTTGCGGTTGTTGCTGTCATTGCTGTTATTGTTGTTAGTGTTGGTAAGCGGCACGACATGCAAGCGCGCGTTTTGCATTTCTGTCACTGACCACACTCAACGGCATATTGACAGCTGTGTTGTTTTTGTTGTTCTCAGCGAGCTTTGCGAATATGATGAATGGCAATGGCTGTTAGCCAAAGCCAAAGCAACGCACGAGGCAGATGGCGTTGAAAGCGCGTGGAAAGTTTTTATTGCGCACTTTGAAGCGTCCACGATAAGTGTCAGACGTCCGCGACATATCCTTATCACGTCTTAGACATTAAATTTAAATAAATACCAATGTACATATGAGTGAGTACGTGAGTATGCAAATAAAATTAATAATGCTGATTAGCGAAATGTGGGCCAAGAGATTATGCTGATTAAGTGGTCCGACATGCTAATGCGTGTGCAGCATAAAAATTGCTCGCAAATTACCCGCAAATCACTCTCTAACAGTGAACAGTGAACCGGGCTCGCCCGCAGCTCCGCAGCCCAACCACCCACGGCTAGCACCTGTTATCGCACCTCTGACATGGCCACACATGTGAATTTAATTAAATTCGTATGTAGATGGATTTTCAATCAGTCATATGCCCGCCCCCTGTCTTATCACGGCTAAAATGCAAAACAGACACCCGGACATTATCTGCGGCCTGTGGCTGTGCGTGTGTGTTTGTGTGTGTGTGTGTACGACACTTCCACAAGCACACCTGACATATGTTGCACTCTGCTTGCCACTCATCGCTTATCACAAGCATTTCGTTTAACACACTCGCCACCCACAGCAGCAACAACAGGCATGCAAAAGCCTCACTCAGTGGCACAGTTTCAAACTGGAGGCTTGGTGGCAGGTGTAAGGGCAGGTGTAAATGCAGGTGTAAGGGCAGGTGTATGGCATGAGGCGGCGGGCTATTCCAATGGCATCCCATAAAAACGTTGACATAAAAATTAACATAGCCATAAAAGTAAATTCGCCAATTTACGACAAAAAATATACAAAGAAAAACAAATGGAAAAATACCCGACTACTTCATACCATAATTAAACGAATTAACAAAATTATGATTATTGTTATGTTTTTATTGTTATAGTTTTTTTTATTATTAGACATTTTATTAGTGGGGTTTTCAATATTATTATGATTATCATAATCAATATTATTATTATTATTATTATTATTATTATTATTATTATTATTATTATTATTATTATTATTATTATTATTGTTATTATTATTATTATTATTATTATTATTATTATTATTATTATTATTATTATTATTATAAATATTTCAACCGGGAACCTTCAGTAGAGAGTTTATCTTGACTCCTAGCACCAAATTTATTCTAATAATTTGTATCTATTGAACTTATCGTAACACATCATTGGCATACCCGTTTTGCATACTCAAGAAATACAGGGTGGCAAAAGGTATAGTCACTCAGCGGTTGAGTTAGGCGCAGGTGTCGTTTAAGACCTGACACACCCGCGAGTCTAGAATTGCATAGGGATGTCGCCGAATGGTTTTAATGTTAGACCAATTTTCCTTATCAACTAAAGTTGGGTTCGACATTCATTAACATTACAAAAAGAAAACTTGAAGAAGTCAAAAGGAAAAAACAAAAGAAATTTAACGAAATGAAATTGTGGCGATATCATTTCTCGTTGGGCAAATGTGCGCGTGTGTGTAATGGTAATATTTTATGGAGAGGCCGACTAATGCCGAGGCCAAAGCCACAGGAAAACAATGGCAAAAATTACCAGGGATTCTGTGTGCCTGGCATGGAAACGCAGCGGCCTCTAATGGGCCACCAACCAGGCCTGATTGGCTTGTCGTGCTGTGTGGGTGCATTTATTTTATGGGCTGTCGAGAAAACTCTAAGCGAAACAGAGATTTAAGTGCCAAGCACAGGAAAATAGTCAAATTAAGATCTTAAGCTGGCTAACAACTGAGTTGATGCCCGCTTAACCCGCTTCGGCTGCAGCTTTAAGAGGCGCCACTTCAACTGCACACACACAGATACGCAGTTTGTCTGTGTAGTTGTGTGAGCGGAAGTCAACGAAAGTGGTTGCCGTTGATTGTGCTGTAACTGTTAATGAAACCGCAATTAGCTGGAGAAAACTTTGTGGGGAAAACTTTTCATTTCCAGTTTTCACCTGATCATCAATCATTATCCACCAATTATTGTTTGTTATTCGAAAAGGCGTCACACCAAAAGCAATTGGGTTTTACGATCTCACAATCTATCATAAATATATCATAATCACTATATTAACCAAATATATGAAACGTTATCAGTTGCTTCCACGAATTGGCTTTACAATAGACACACTGCGCTCCCTGCGCTGTCTTCCGCATGGTGACACATCCGACATCCGTGGGATAAACTCAAGTGCAGCGCAATTTAAATGCAATTTGTGACAGTTTCGCTTTAGCTTGACTTTCAACTGACACGCACGCTGTGGGCGTCAAAGGGAGGGCGAAGCTGCTGGCAAGGACATCCAGCAACTTCCCCTTATCCCTATTTCGACGTGTTGCCGTTGTCGTGCCGCTGCAAGAATAAGTCAACACATAGCTGAACAAAGGAATTCCACTTTAATATATCGCAAAAATGCGCAGTAGCAACAACAAGAAGAGGACGCAAGAATATTATAAGGACTCTTCATCCATTTTGACTAGACTTTCAATCCATAAATCTCTGTGAATTTTAAAGCGCTCGATTGGATTATTATTCCCTTTACCCACGAATTGCTCTTTTGAATAACTTTCGGCATGGCAAAAAAGACTTTATCTAGACATATTTTTAACAAAGGCAAAGCTGACAACTTTTTGAAAGATGCGAACGGAAGGACAGGATACGAGGCAGATGCCTGCCCGGCGTATACGCAATATGTGTGTCACGTGCGTCAAACTTTGAGCAGAAGCCTTAAAATTGATTTTGAAGTAATGAATGTATCGGACGCCTGACGCCCATCGATACTGGTAAACATCCCCCTGAACTCGTGATTAATGACCAGAGACAATGTCTTTCTCTTATTTGCTGGGTTCGCCTTTATTGTTCTGCCTTACAAGAACCCTATGTGGTAGGCGCCCCTGCCGAAGGGGAAGCTGCTCCGTGTCTCTAGAAAAAAGATGCCCGCAGTTGCCTCAACGCCCATACGCTGCGAGGACCAACGGCAGTTCTGTGCACTCATGTCCTCCTGGGAGCTGCATAGGGCACCAACGAAGTCGTTCGCTGTTGACCACATTTCGGCCGCCAGGTCTAGAGCTCGTTCATGCGAGCAGGCATCCGGGTCTGGTGTGACACTGCAGCCAGGCTGCTGTTGCCCCCCGTTTGGATAATAGTCCACGTCACCTAGTCGCGCCATGGTGCCCAGTCCATTGCCATTGGTGTGCATGACCTCAACGAGGCATGCATCTTCCGCTGAGAGCCTATGCTCGAGCTTGTCGCAGTCCCCGCTGGGATCCAATGCTGTGATTCGTGGCACCTGCTCGCCCAGCTGCTGCTGCACCTGATCAGCCACGGCGCCGGACAAATGTGCACCCTCGCCAAAGCCCACCAGCTGCTGCTGCCGCAGCGGCACATCGAACTGTCGCTGCAGTAGGATTAGCAGCCCACTCACGCTGGCCACAATATCCGACTCGCTCTGGCCCTCAGCCAGGTCAACGGCAAACACATTGCAAGCCTCTCGTTCCAGCAGAGCGGATGCTAGTTTCAAGTGCTCTTCGCCAACTGTTGTCGAGCTGTTGCCCGACAAGCGGGGGATGGATACTCTAGAGATGGAATAAATTTTCAAACGGGATTCTGGTCAAGTTTCGTCTACGACTTACACAATAGGTTCCAGCGCATAGAAGGAGGAGCGCAGCAGTGATTCCACCTCCGGATCGATATGTTGTGGTGTGTTTCCATTGCGACGTGTATAAAGCAGATATCCTGGCGCAGCGGCATCTTCTAAAGAACTTGAGTGTTGCCTAAGTCTGTCCATGGTCTGATTGGCATTAATTTACTCACCTGAAGCGATTGCGGCGGCAGCCAGCAGTAGGCAAAAAGGCATTACCTCGATGAAACGCATTTTCCAATCAACTGAAGGCGGTCAACCCCAGGCATTCCGCGGACCGTCGATTGCTGTGCGGCAAAGAACTGATTAGATTATCGTGTCAATTGACGATAAGCGCGCCTAATCAAAAATATCTCAGCCGTGACACATTAGAAGCCACTGCGCATGAACGACACCTGGACGCTGGCTGTCTGGGCTTTCAGCATTTGACAGGCGTTTGGTTTGTTTTGATTGCGACACAAATTGTTATTTATGGGCTTGTTGTAGTTTGTCAAATTAATCAAGCCACCGTGCCATTCGATGTATTTGCATTGAATTGCATTTAATTGCTTGACAGATCAACTTGAAGTCGTGTTGGATTCAAAGCACTTTACTCGTTAAAGTCAGACAGCTCGACGGGCCCTGCCACCTGGAATTGCTGCAATTAGAGTGCAGCTGCCTCATGGCGTTGCATCAATGTCAGCCGGAGAGGCAACATTTGACAGCCACGCAGAGTTTGCACAGATGCGGACACTCCCACACAGCTCATCAAGGATATTGACCCACATCTGGTGATGGTCAAGTCTTTTAATGAGCCCAAAGCTTGTGCTTCTGCAGGCTTATGCATTCATTCATCCATCGTACAATGTCTATCATAATCCAGCCTTTTTGGGTCAGGCTAACCAGACGGGAGCTTGAAGCGAAAATGTTGCCACAGCTCTCAGCGAAGCGTTAACGGCGCAGATAAATTGTTTGCAAAATTGTCTGTCAAGTACACGCGGCGGCGTTGCCAAACGGGCATCAATTAACCAAACACCATGGAACTAACGCCCATTTGCCACCAGCTCAGGCGCTCCGCTTGCCGGCTCAATGGGCACGTCAGGCGATGTGAAGCTCACGCTAGATTTATGGAAAAGCGCCTCTTATTAAATGATGCCAGGCCCGGGCAATTTATAACCAGGCTTAACATTTTGTTCGTAAGGTGGGCGGGGCAGTGCGTGTCAGTTTTTTTTTTGTATACCCTGTTAACTGTAAGTATAAATAGGTTATGCAAATCCCTATGTGCCACATCGATATGTGGCTGCCTGAAGCGATTGGAATTTCTGCAATTAAAGCAATTAAAAGGTAGTTTTTTGTGTAACGAAATTCTGTTTCTGTTCTAACGATTCGCTCAGCTTTAAAGCCAACGTTTCGTACAGCTGGAGTCCGGATTGGACTATTATATTGTATAGCTGCCATAGAATGGAGTTTTTGTTTAAAAAGATATCTGGACTGAACTTGCCCTTAAAGGTGCTCTACTCTCTTCGTTATATGTAAGCAGCATCAGACTATTTAAACACAATACTCTAGAGAGATCAATCCTGTTCTTTTCTTAAAATGTAGTATTACGTTTTTGCATTTAAGTGCGTTTTGTCACCTGCATTAAAGCTTGTCAGCAGCATAAAAGCATTCCACCACGCATGGAATGCACTGATGTAGTGTGACAGGCTGCGAGACATGTCGTGAGTGTGTGAGGTGTGTGTGGGAGTATTTGCGTGCCTGTGTGAGTAAGTTAAAGTGGCATTGTAATAAGCCAAGTGAGAGAAGTGTAGCATACCCCAGGGACGGATGCAGCCAATCAGCGTGTACGGGGGATGGAAATAAAAGCCCGATCAAAGGGACGCTCAATTTGCCGCGTGTGCAAACTTTGAAGTGGCTGAAAGCGATTCAACATAATAAATTACTCTGATATCTATGATAGCTGCAGCAAGTGCGAAGGTTTGGCGAATATCACACATACGCCGGGTAAAACCAACCCAGCCGAAAACGCAAAAAAGCCAAAAGTCATACACAGCTGCAGAAGGGCGCGTGAATGGAGCAATCAGAAAAGTCTTCCAGTCGGGCACAATCCAAACAAAGACATTTTGTGGACTGGGGCGACTATCATTGATTCCACATGTGCTTTTTTCTATGCTGTGAAAGAGTGGAAATCATTTTAGATGTGACGGAATTTCTTATGAAAGTTTTATTACTTTGCGCGTTGTTTGCTCAAATGTGGCTGGAGTTCGCGTTGAGACCTTATGCAGTACGAATAAGATAGGGTGCCAGGAGTCAACCACGTATATCAATCAATTACTGACCAACTTCGAGTGGGACATACGATACTTTCTATTGAATATCTGCAGGGGAATATATCAAATTATAACATTTAAGTGTTACTCCCGAGAAACGCCTTTTAATAACCAACCCCAGCAAGGCTGCTGTAAAATATGCAACACAATATGACAAGAACTAAAAGCCTTGATGTCTCACACAGGACAAACGCTGGGGGTAGCAGAGCGACGGCCATCGAGTGAATGTAATTGACAACAAGAGGGCGAAGGAGCTGTTGTTACAGCTGTGAGTTTCACAAAAATGTTGCAACACGCCAAAGGACCATCTTACTACTGCCAGACTGCCAGCACAGGATCTACTGCCTCCACTCCAGCTATCCAAGTCCAATTAAATTAAACGAAGCGACAAACATCCTCAAGAAACTCACTTCTCACTGCCGGCTGAAGCCAATTTCACGCAACCCTCGTGGCGCGTAATGAGTACACCCCGTATCGCCTTCCTGCCAACCAGTCTACATATTCGACGCCATCCTGGCCTATTGTTTTTGCTGCTCTGCTTGTACCAGTCGGCTTCTTGCCATGCGGAGGTCTTTACTCTGGGCTATCTTACGGGCTCGCAACGTCGGCCGGGAAATCTGGACTATCAGCGACCAGGCATCACCATTTCGGGCGCCATCTCTCTGGCCGTGGAGCAAGTCAATGCTGGCAAATTGGGCGCCCTGGGCCACTCACTCGAGTTTGTTGTGGCCGAGACCTACGGGGACGAGGTCGCCAGCATACGACAGACGGCAGCACTATGGACGCAGCAGGTGGCCGCTTATATTGGACCGCAAGAGACTTGCGTTCACGAGGGACGCATGGCGGCGGCCTTTAATCTGCCTATGATATCCTATGTGAGTGTAAAGTCCGTAAATCAATTATTCGATAAATGTTTTAATTCCTAATTTAATCCCGACAGTACTGTACACATCGAGATCCTTCCAATAAAATAGATTTTCCGACGTTCGCCAGAACACGACCCCCGGACACACAGATCTCCAAGTCGGTGGTGGCGCTACTGTTGGCCTTCAACTGGACTCAGGTGAGTTTTCTCTATCTGGACGATGCCAGCAGTCAGTATCAGCCCGTGGCGGAGACCATACTCAACACGCTGAGTGGCGCGGGTGTCAGTGTCCGTGACATTCGCACCTGGAACACTATTTACCATCATGGATTTATGGCCAATCCGTTCGACACGCTCGTGGAAGAAACCCATGCGAATACACGTAGTAAGCAGGGATATTCACAGATATCGATGAAAATTTGAATTCTAATTCTTTGTCGTAGTCTACCTAGTTCTCGGTCACTACTACGAACATGTGGGTCTGATGGTTAGTCTACAGCAGAAAGGTCTTCTTTCCCGTGGCGACTATTTCGTAGTGGGCATTGACATTGAGCAGTATGAGCCGGCCAAGCCAGAAAAGTATCTCCGAGGCCTGCTGATGGAGAATGTCGAACCGCTGGCAGCGCAAGCATTTCAGTCATATCTTGGCATAGTACCCACAGCGCCCGTTTCCTTTGCCACATTCGCCAACGAGGTAAGTTCATGGGACAGTCATTTTGCCTGCTGATTGATGCGATGCATCCGCTTCAGTAAATGCGGTCGTCTCCTTACACACAGCATAACCAATTGTTTGCGTTCTCTGTTTCGCCCTCGTCTAGGTTAACAAATACATGGAACGACCGCCATTCAATTTTCCCAATCCACTGGGTCTTTTTGGCGGCGCGAAGCAGGTTAGTCCGAAGCTCTCCCATTCGGCTCGGTTCCCATTAACATGTTTTCCTTTCCATTCGCTCGAAGATAAGCGCTGAGGCAGCCTATCTCTATGATGCCGTGCATCTCTATGCCAATGCCTTGTTGTCCGTCTTGAAGTCAGGAGGAAGGCCCAGGAATGGCAGCCTCATTGTGGCGGCTATCAAGGGCTCGCGCTATCTGAGCGCCATGGGGTGAGTAGCCTAGGCACACGTATGAATCTGCTCTGATTCTTATCACACACGGCGTATAGTTATCATGTGTATATTGACGAAAATGGAGACGCCGCCGGCAACTACACAGTATTAGCGAGAGGAACAATCCGTAACAGTCGCAACCAGACGGTATTGGGTCTACTGCCCGCAGGCACCTTCAGCCACAAGAGCACCAACAGCAGCAGCGAGGCCTTGCCGGTGAGTAATCCTTGTGTGTGCTCTGCCACGTTTTTTATGAAAGCTACTTTTGCATTTTTACGCTTGCCCTTCAGATGCAGGTAAGGGTTTTTGTTAGAGCATTCCCACATATAACCGCTTTTACTTTTTTTGTACTCATATCCCATGTCCATCCCTACTGTAGGATCTGAATTTGTATCGCAACATCGACTGGGTGGGTGGGCTGCGTCCTGCGGCTGCTCCACGTTGCGGTTTCGGTGGCGAGAAGTGCGTCAGTAAGTTAATTACACTTCCTAGCTTCCTTCACTAGCTTTCCTTTAAATAAGCGCATTCCTTAAACTCTAGATTATACTGGCGAAATATCTGCAGGCATTGCTGGGGGTGCGCTGCTCTTGCTAGGTCTTGTTTCGCTGGTTCTCTATCGCAACTGGCGCTACGAGCAGGAGCTGGACAGCCTGCTGTGGAAGATTGACTTTCGCGAAGTTCAGATCCATGACAACGAGCGGGAGCAACAGAGCCAAAAACAAACCCGAGTGAGTCACACACAAACTTGTCTTTCGAATTTACTGACAGTTAAATTAATGATGCTGACAGTCAAGGAAATTGACTATGAATAAGTGCATTGGCTATTTAAAGGGTTATTACTGACAACAAAGTGCCTTTTATGTGGGGCGTATTTCCGACAACATTGTGTGGATTGTAAAAGGTTTAGACTGAAGTGAATGTGCATAAGAAATCATGATCCTTTTCATTTACATAGACATTTTTTAACTATATTCGATGCGACTTTTTGTCTAAGCGTCTATCCTGCCATGTTTGCATGTTTGACAGCATTTCATAAATCAATTGCCGCGTCGTCTTCCTTCGCAGTCAACCCATCCTCTAATCCGCACCAGCCAGGTTAGTCTCAGCTCCAATCCTGATGCAGACTTTCGCTACACGACAATCTTCACGCCGATTGGACTGTATAAGGGTCAACTATATTCTATCAAGAAGGTGCGCAAGAAGAGCGTGGACATAACAAGGGAGATGAAGAAGGAGCTGAAGCTGGTAAGCAATTGTATCTTCGGATTCCTTCAGATCTAACTTCAACTCACAACTAGCTGAGGGACGCCCGCCACGACAACATATGCGCATTTATCGGTGCCTGCACGGAACCACCCAACATCTGCATCATCAGCGAGTATTGCACTCGTGGCAGCCTTAAGGTTGGTTGCTGGATCTATCTGCCAGAGCGAACGCCAAGACTAACCGCCCCTAATTTTGCAGGACATACTGGAGAATGAGGATGTCAAGCTGGACAACATGTTCATTGCCTCCATGGTGGCGGACATTATACGCGTGAGTGCTGTTGTGTAACATTATACTAATGGCATCCCCTCCCGTTCATTCAACGAGTATGTGTTTGTCTGACCCCAAACTTCTGGCTTCCGCAGGGCGTCATCTACTTACACGAGTCACCCATCCGATTCCATGGCTCGCTGTGCACATCCAATTGCCTGGTGGACTCGCGTTGGGTGGTCAAGTTGACGGACTTTGGTTTGTTTGCTTTCAAGCAGGGCATCGAGGACAACTCTACGGACATGCAGCATATGTCGGCCAAGTGTCTCAGTGAGTTCGTGCGTGCATTTATGCGATGTGATAGTTACGTAGTTTCTTCCAGAGCTGCTCTACCGAGCCCCAGAGCTTTTGAGGCAGGGCCCTTCCTCGATGGTGATGGGCACACAGCGCGGCGATGCCTACTCGTTTGCCATAATACTTTACGAAATGCATGTACGGCGCGGCCCGTTTGGGGAGACCGGTCTGACACCAATGCAGTGCCTGCAGAAGGTTATGCAGCCACAGGATCAAGTCCATCCTTATCGACCCTCGCTGCAGCCACTCGAGACCGCCTTCGATTGCGTCAGTGAGTGTCTGCGCGAGTGCTGGGCCGAGCGTCCCGAGGATCGCCCTGAGTTCAAGGCAATACGCGCCAAGTTAAGGCCGCTGCGCAAGGGAATGAGACCTAACATCTTCGACAACATGATGGCCATGATGGAAAAGTATGCCAACAATTTGGAAGCCCTCGTGGACGATCGCACGGATCAGTTGCAGGAGGAAAAGAAGAAGACTGATGCCTTGCTGCATGAGATGCTGCCGCGCTGTGTGGCCGACCAGCTAAAGAAGGGCCTTAAAGTGGACCCCGAGCACTACGAACAAGTCACCATATATTTTAGCGATATTGTCGGTTTCACGGCCATGTCTGCGGAGAGCTCGCCCCTCCAAGTGGTGGACTTCCTTAATGATCTCTACACCTGTTTCGATTCTATCATCGGGCATTACGATGTATACAAAGTGAGTTTCAACCTCTGTGACTAATAAGGAATGTACTATCACCTTACAAATGTCCTTTGGCAACAGGTTGAGACCATTGGCGATGCCTACATGGTCGTATCTGGTCTGCCCCTGCGCAACGGAGATCTGCACGCCGCGGAGATTGCCACTATGTCACTGCACCTGCTCAGCGCCGTGTCCGAGTTTAAGATCCGTCATCGACCCACCAATCGCCTATTGCTTCGCATCGGCATCCACTCAGGTCCCGTTTGCGCGGGCGTCGTGGGACTAAAGATGCCGCGTTACTGCCTCTTTGGGGATACGGTCAACACGGCGTCGCGCATGGAGTCGAGCGGAGTGCCGCTCAAGATTCACTGCAGCTGGCAGTGTCGGCAACTGCTGGAGCGACTGGGTGGCTATCAATGCCAAGAACGCGGCATGATCTCGATGAAGGGTAAGGGAGAGCAGCGCACCTACTGGCTAATGGGCGAGGATGATGAGGCACGTGTGCGTCGCACTTATGAACGCTCCCAACGGCGCGGTTCGCGGGCCCTTAACAAGTTCATCCAGGGCACCATTAAGCAGGCCCAGGAGCAGGCTAACGACTGTGGAATACGCTCCTCGCTGAAGCAAAAGAACCTGCCGCGAAACTCACTGACTCGATCCTCCAGCCTTGAGTCGCCCAAGAAGCTGCGCTTTGCAGCCGGAAACATGCTGGAGCATCATCGATATCACAGGTTTGCCAATGGGCTAGACTATGACTGAGCAATAATAACCATGTCGTTTCCAGTGACGAGGCCTTGCTGGAGGTGGACTCCTACACGGGCCTACGTCGTTCCTCCGGTGGCTCGACACACTCCCGCTACGAGGAGTCAACTCTATCCTGCCAAAGCATCGAACAGCTTGACCCGCAGCAGCAAAAGCGGCGGCCGTTCTCCTATCCGACGGTTAACACGCCGCTGCTGATGAATCACGTTGAAGTCTAAGTCGGATCGAAGAAATCACATTATTAGAATATGTTGTCAGTATCTTTAGCCAAGTATTATTGTTGTGGTGTTCAGCTCTTGTCAGTTGCTTTAAGTGTTGTCAGTGGGTGCATAATGTCCCCTCTTAATCATATGCGTGCATACAAAGTACATCCTAGGCCTATTTGCTGGATCCGCAGACGGAAATCAAGGTATGCTATATATGTGCAATTCGTAGTATCAGCATATTGTGAGAGTGATTACAAATCTAGTCGTTGTATACAAAATAATACGCTAGTTTAGACAGTAGCTTAATCTTAAATTTAAAACAGTATATTGATATATCATATGATCAACATGATGTCTGTAAACCCGAACAAAAACTTATTGACGATTCGATGCACGGTTCGAACGAGTCACGAATATATTCATAGATGTGTATATGAATCGCTCAAACCTTGTCCTATTATTTTTTTTTTAGCCCTGAACGAAAATGGTTTTGTGCAAATGTATGTAACAGGGAGAAGGAAGCAACTCACTAGCTGAGTCAATCTAGCTATGTTCCTCCGTCTGTCTGTCCGTTCGTCTGTCTGTCCGTCCGTCTATGAACGCATCGATTCCAGAACCTGTAAGAGCTAAAGACTTTTAAGCGTAGGTTCTCCTAGTGCCCGAGCAGAAGGGGTGTGTTGTCCGATAATCAATAACTTGTCCTGTTTCCAAGCAATCGATAAAAATTGATGTCGATATCCTGTTTATGAGAAAATTTCCTAGGTTTTAATTGACAGTCACAAAATTTGACATGTAGCTTCTAGAATTGTTAATATTTAATTTGATAGAAACCTCCTCTCCTCGCCCTACTCGTAGCTCGAGTTACATGTGTTAGAAGAAGGTTCAGGGTATCTCCTAGTCGGGCACTCCCGACTAGAGCACTCTTACTTGTTTTAATTTTAAGCTGTGTAAATTATTATTTGTTGAAATATTTTATACAAGCGGGCATACCCCGGTCTTGCCCCTGGTACGTATAAAATATACTTATAATAAAGAGCCAAATTTCGTGGAAATCGGATGAGATTTTACCTCGATATGGGGTTAGGAAATGTTGACCTATTTCTATATAGGATTTTTGAGGAGACTATTATTACATAAATTTTAAACAAGCATAATGTTGTTTTCATATTTGCCTAGTAGCAAAAATATCGCCTGCGCTTTGATTGAAACTAAGAAATTATGGAAAGTAAAATATGCTGAAAGAAATCGGTATATTAAACATAAGGCTTAACGGAGAGTTAGGTTGTATTGTTTTTTGGTGTACTTACCCGATTCAAAGCTTTTTCTAAAATATATTTTGGAGTTACGGCTTTCAGCGGGTTCGTTTAAAAACCGGTTTGTAGTTTTGGAAAAACAGCCGTGTGTGGATTTTTTTAAATGGCGAATTTATTTCAAATTTTCTTGTGGTCTTGAAGACACTTTCGCTATATATATATCATATATTTTTATATTTATAATTTTCAAACTTAACGTGTTTTCTTTATTGTTATATTTGAGTTTAAAACCAATTTGTGCATTTCATTTGGGCTTTTAATTTGTGGGCCCTTATTCTCCTTATTCTCTCTAAACTCTTGCGAAAGCCAGCTTGCAAAAATTTTAAATTGCTTGTATAAGTACGTATTATATAATGTATAATCTCTAATAGGGAATTTCAATTTGATTGCTTTTGTTTGAACTTAGTATTGCTAGATATATGTATGTATTTATATGTATTTGTGTTTCGTTAGTTTATATAGTTTTGTTAATTTGATAAGCCACAAGCTTTAAAGCGCACTTCAGTGCATAACATGAAATTTCATAACTTCAAAAATCCTTCTCTTCTTCTTATATATATATATATATATCTGTAAACCATTTGTATGCGTATGCGTGTGCTTTTTATTGGTGGTCTGTTAATAAACTTTGTTTATACAATTCTACACAATTCAACAATTTACTAAATAACAATCTCACATACAATTCATTCTAGGCATGATTGTATGTATTGTATATGATGCGTTCATTTTGGTTTTTTTTTTTCTATCAAAATGGTTGCAACGACAAATCTACTCAAAATATGCATTTATAATGTCTGTCATATATAATATAATATAATATATCTCTCATTGTTTATATAACAATGTAGTTCTCGATTATTGTACGACTGCCAGAAGCATTTGTCGGCGGCTCGATTCGGTACAAAACTAACAAATGGAGCAGTGCTTTTTTTGCGAGCACTAATAACAAATGTTGTTTATAATTATAAATACATATACACGTAAATTCGCACTATATATATATATATATATCTGTAAATATATATATATATGTATATGTCAGTATTTGTTAAATGCGTCTCTGAAAAAATAGTATGTCAACAATTTTATAAATATTTCATCTTGTCTCTTTTCGAGTTTTGATTAATTCGCTTTGCACCCTTCAATTGACGAATGCTCAATTCTAAGCTAAAGCCAGCGATTTGTAGGTTTCCAATAGCATTAAGTTAAAAAAGTAACTAGCGATTCGTGGACGATAGAATTATCCTACATAATAATATATATAGTGATATATATAGTGATCATTTAGAAAGTGAACTCTTTGGCTCCTTTCGATTGCCGTTCATCAGAATGATGGATGAATCTGGTACGAAATTCCAATTCTAGTTGCTTTTCGTTAAATGGACTCACTGAAAGTTGGTTTCATCAGCGCCTGATGACAATTTTTTCCAAGTGACAAATAGGCTTTGGGGTAACATCCAATAGTTAAGATTTGTTCCCTTCATCGAAAATTTAAAGCTTGCTCGTATAGGAAAATCTACATATTTATATGCAGCTGCAGGCTGTCCTTTGCATACCCTATTTTCCCAAGTTGATGCCGAAAGTCTAGTTATAGCCAAAAGTTCAGGTTAAGCCATCCAAGGTGTTCCAATCGATGAAGGTGTATAGAGCACAGACACATTCCAGAGGATTGTGCTTGTCCTGCTGTATAAAAATAGTCGTCGACTCGATTGCGCTGCGGTCAGAACTTCATCTGGGCTTTTTCGCCAGGCTGGTCGATCTGTTGGGATGAGAGAGAGCTTTGTTGAGTCGATTATGCCAGCATGAGCTATCGCTCCACCCACCTTCGGATACCGTGCCGTGGGCTGGAAGGAGGTGTGTGGCATGGTGTAGGTGGCGCCGAGCCGCCCGATGAGCCACGCGACGACGCGATCGACAAAGTTGAGGCACGCGGTGCCGAGCAGCCCAAGTAGATAGCCGAACCCTTGTCAATCTCGCGCAGATCGACCCGCGATCCGTGGACAGATGAGGGCACCGAGCCTAGCAACAATTCAAATACGATCTTAGCTCGGCTCGTCAAGGTGCAAGTGCAAACATTTACCCGTATAGGCATGTAGGCCCGCCGGACTGCTGCGGGGTCGCACGCCGAAGCCGCTCACGGTGCTGGCGCTGCGCTGCAGCTGTGAGCTTCCATTCCCCACGTTCCCCGCGGCGGCTGGCGCCTCCTTCTGACTTCCGGCTGTGTTGCCCTGGCCCGTTCCACTCATAGAATTAACCCTGCCGCCTGACTTGTAGCTGTAGCGCGAGGGCGAACGTTGTAGTTGGAGCTGCTGCTGCTGCTGGCGCTGTTCCCTCCGTGCATCCTCGATGGCTGCCGCATACTCTGCTGCCTCGCTGGAGGTAGTGGGGGTCAGAGTCGAGGCTGGCTGCTGGTAGGCAATCTCATCCTCGGGAATACGCTCATTACCTACCGAACGGCGCTGCAGAGGCGAGTGCTTGGGCGATGTGGGGCAGGACTGGGCAGCCACAACAACGCCTCCGGCAGCGCTGCTGACGCCCAAAGTACTTGAGGATGAGTGCGTGTTGGCATTGGAGGACTGGGCGCGTGTCCTGGAATGTGTGGTGGAAGCGGTCGACGGCCGACGTCGGAACAGTCCCTTGGTGGGGTCCATGTTGCAGACGCCTAATGGAAACGAACAAGCACAGAATGGGGCAAAGTTTCAGTGACAAAAGCCGGTCAAACATTTTATTAGACTAGATTTAAAAGTTAGATCGAAAAATTAGCGCTTGATCTCCGGTTTTCTGGGCGTCCGCTTGACTGGAGTTTGGCGAGGCGTCTGACTAGCGGAGTCGGCGGCCTTCTGCCTAGGGGCCGTGGCGGATCGCTGCTCTTCCTCGAACTTTTTTGCCAATCTTTTCATGTGAGCCGTGTAGGGGCTGTGCCGCTCTTCTTCCTTTGCATTCTCGTCCAGGTTGTTGACAAAGCGGCCAACGTTTGCGTCTGCATTGTAGTAGACCACATTGGGCATAAGCTCTTCGCCCGAGCTGCTGCTGGATATGCCGTTTGAGTCGTCATGATCGGTATCAAGGTCTGTCTCACGCTCCGACTCCAGGTCGGACACCGAGATCTCTTCACTGCTCAGCTGCTCAAATGTTCTGTTCTTCCACTTGTCAACGATGAACCTAAGAGTGTAGGCAACATTTTGCCGGACTTGGGCATTGCCCGAGCCTGAAGCCTCACGGCCGGTAATGGAGAAGCCGCCAATTGCGTAAGTGGGTATGCTATCACCTGTGGGACACTTTTCGCCGCGAGAGCAATTGCCCTCGCATATATCTCTATTCTGCAACAGCTCCTGATAGTTATCCAACGCCAGTCCACACTTGATTCGATCAAGCTGCTCCAGCGCCGACGACGGGAAACGCTCTCTCAGCCGCCGTCGCTCATCGGCCAGCTTATATTGCTCGAACTCCAGCAGCTGGTTTTGAAAGCCCGTGTTGGGATTGGCCACGGCGCGACCAGCGCGCACCACCTTCAACGCCTCTTTCCAGTTCAGATGCGTAGCCGTCATTATATAAGCCACGGCGACGGTCACCGAGCGGGACATCCCGGCCAGACAGTGGATCAGCACGTTGCCCTCGCGTAGCCGAGCTGCGTGAATGAAGTCGTTGCACACCGAAAAGTATTGTGACAAATTCTGATCCGGCGTATCCGAGGCCATAACGCACAGATAGTGCTTGTCCTGAAAGTGGACCCCATTAGTTAGAAACAAATTAGTTGGCTCAAGCTGGGGCAGGGCATACCGGCAGCAGACGCCTTGGACTGTCATGTATGGCTATAATGTGAGAGATTTTGAACTTCTCCAGCTGCTGATAATCTTTGGAGTCGCGGTAATTGCCCACATATAGTCCCGGCAAGACCTGTCAAGCAAAAGGAACACGTTTAATAAAACAGAATTATCATAGGAAACGACTGTTTACATTTCCCATATGCCAATTCATCTCGTTAATTATGGTAAAAACAAAAAGCCGATTGAAGGCCTTACTGTTTTATATACACGATTGGATTTGTTTATTTGAAAATACAAAAGCTTATTTGTTGTCTATTTGTTGTTGCTACAGGCAACTAGCCTTGACAACTAACTCTCAGGGTCGACCCTTAATGCACACTATGTTGAAACAAGCAAGAGTGCGCTCTACTCGGGAGCGCCCGACTTGAAGATACCCTGCACTCACCGCCGAACTAACGATGCAAATTTCTTTCACACATACACACACGGGCATCCCAGTCGTCGGTCTTGGAACAACGATGAGGTCTTTAGATTGCAATTGATCCAGGTATGAAGAATCATAGGACTCTCAGACGATCCGAGCGATGGACAATCCTGCCTTTATGTACGTCATCCGGAGGGACATACAAACTATTTTCCAATCTGGAGCAATGAATTCGGAGACGGAAATGAGAAATTAACTACAAGCTAACGCAGTTTTTTACTGGACACGGCGGCGACAGTAAGTAGCTTCATAGGTTCAAGCGCGGAGACACTCCAGGGTGCGCAAACTGACCAAATCGGCTTTTGGATTTGGTTACATATGACAGGATAAGTAGGCAGGTCTGAGCCTGAGCTATCCAGCTATCGTTCTTTAAGAATTCCCCAATCTCTAGCACTTTCACGGACAAAGAAACCGACATGATTATGTCAATTCGATTGTTGATTCTGACCAAGTTTATATATATTGCATACTATATGGGGTCGAAGATGCCAAGCCATTTTCATTAGGTTCAGAGTACAGAAAAAGCAGCGCTTGCAATCCAACCTTTTGTTATTATGTATTGTAAAATGCAATGAATTGGCATTGGGTTTTTATTATTACAATGGCATTTCTGTCAATTCTCTTGATTTGAACTTCGTTCGGTTCCGTTCAGTTTGGCAGCATGCATAACTCTTACCTTGTTCATACCATTCCCCATGTTTCCTCATTTAAATGTGGCAGTCAACCTTCTTCAATTGTCAAAGCCTGCAAGTATAAAAAGAAAAAAAAAACAAATATAAATCGAGAGAAACTTTTATTTGACAAGTTCAGGGCGAATTCCATGTGAAGGCTAATGCGGAGGCGACAAGCACGACGACCAAAGCCCCGTTTCGTTTGCATATATTGTTGTTTCTGCCCCTGATGAAAGTGCAAGTGGCAGCTGTTGCGACTGTCATGGCCTCATCGCTGCCAACAAGTACCCTCACCTGCAGCACAACCAGAAACACAGCCCAAGGAGCAGTCGAGCAGCAGAGCCGGGTCTTCTCCACGGATAGACAAACGTGGCCTAGACGCAGACAATGGCAAAAGCATCGCATCCGTTGCGGAAGTAAACAATCCTTGACGTCGCTGCCTTTGTTGCAACTCATTAGTGGGTTAGGCACACTGTAAGACAGACAGACAGACAGACAGGCAGACGGACAGCCAAACCGGGGCACATAGTAAAAGCAGCGGCATAGTATTGTTGGGGCATGCAGCTCATTACGATTGGAACTGAATGCCAAAGTTCATATTTGGCAACTGAGCATTTCGTGATGTGCGATGTTCGTGTGGCCCCCAGAAGTAGGCAAGGCCTAGATTATGCCCCGTTGCAACAGTTGGTTGCCTCACTTGGCCCCGTCTTTCATTCAGGCATGAAAACAAAAGCTTGCTCATCACAAAGTCAAGACGCCGCTTGGCCTGCTAAGCCTTGACTTATGCAACTCAGAGGCAGAGGCTCTGCTCATAATGCCACGCCCACCCCTGCCGCCACCCACGTCCCGCTCGAGAGCCTGTCCCTGAACATTTACTTTTATAATAGAATCAACCACATTTACATAAGTTTCAAGTTGGAGCAAAAGTGGCGCTTGCATGAATTTCATAACAACTGTCACCTGACCGCAGACTGACAAAAAGATGGCACCAAGATACGGCACGTTTGGCACGTTACCTGTCGTAACAGCTGCCTTTTCAACAAAAGTGAACCAACGCCCCCGCCACAGCCCCAAACCAGGCAGAAATTACTAAAATTATCGCAGTCAACTCTTGAGCAGGTGCCATCGCAGGTAATTGATCTGACAAGTGGCTGGTTAGTTCCTTTGCCGCAACGCCAACATGAATTTCAAGAGAACGCCTCAAACTCGGTCTAAATATAGAGAACGCCCCCCCGCCGCGCCCAGTGGGTGGCATCCAAGCATTTGGCATGCCAAGCGACACTCAATTCAATTGATTTCTGGATGTGTGTGTGCTTTTGAGCTGCTGTCCACACAGCTTATGTAATGGCTCATCCGCTGGTCAAACAGCTTTAGGACCCACACATTTCGACAATTTCACAGCACATTTACCCAACGAGTTTTACAAGCGCTGAATCCTTTTAAAAGGGGGAAAGGGGGTAGAACTAGCCGCGTATGTCCGTCCGTTACTAAGAATGAAGCCGTAGATCTGGGAAACATTAACATTATTAACTAGTAATATTTGTCATATATATATGTATATTCTCGAATATCTTTTCTTTATTTTTCCAAGATTTATTCTTTTCCTCAAGGTTTCTTAGGCATTATTAATACTCTTTCCCGTTCGCACCAATATTTCGCTAGAACCTTGTGCTTTAATTTATATGCACAGTTTGATGCCATATTTAAGCTCTGAATATTTGTCAAGGCGCGTTACAGAAGCTTTTAAATAATTCATTTAAAGAATCACAGCTCTATGCAGATGCAGTTGGGTTTGGTTCCTTGTCAACTTTGTAAGCTGACGCAAGAAATAGTGTAAATTTATTCGGTTAATATTTAAAATAATATGCGAATTGGATAGTCTTCCCTTTAAAATTCTTCTCTAAGGAATTAAACATATTACTTTATTGTACCCTCTTACACTCCGTCCCTTTATTTGTTGATCAATTCGTGTCTTTTTCAGCACATTAAACAAAATCAATAATATCAACTGGTTCGGTTGTTTGCCAAAACGAAAACCAGTTGAAAAAAACAGCGTATACCTTTAGGCGCAGCGGAAACAACATTTAAATTTATGGCCAGTTTTAATTTTAGGGAAAAACTTTGGCACCATGTTCGCCATATTAACACGGAAATGGTATTTCGGCCGCCGGACTGTCAGCCCTACCTCCACCTAGAAACGCTTCGGGCAGCCAAATGTAGATTTTTTTTCACCCACTGAAAATGGGAAATGGGGTATAATGTAGTTGGGCCAAAAGATAACTACTCTATGCAAAAGAGTTTTTTACCACTATCGAAATGAATTAACTTTTTAAATGAAGAACAAGAGAGATCTAGTCGGAAATGCTCGAAGTGCAAATATTCTGCACCTTCTTCCAAAGCCAAGTTTAAGCTTGGGTAAATGATATGTACTTCGTCTGTATACATATACTTAATGAGAACCTACATGTCAAATTTGACTCTTGCCTCTAAGGTCTAAGAAAATTGTTCAAAAACAGGATTTGGACATCGATTTGTATCGAGTTATCGAAATTCGCACAGCGACATACCAATTTTGAAAATGATCGAAAATACGTGGATGAATTACAATTACATAGAAGAACAGGGTATTTCCTAGTCAGGTATCTGTTTGTCACAAGTCTGCTGCCAATTTTTTCACTTTACCAATTGGCAAGGCATTTTGATCGAAATGAATTCATTTTCAGGCGCTTTTTATCACCTACAGGAGATGTTAGATACAAAAAAATAGATACAAATGGAGCATTTTATGCAATAGATACCCTAGAGCTATACAAAATTTGGTAGCTGTAAAGCACCAGCAATTGCTACGACAGATAGTGCCCAGAATCCGAACATTGGAGATAATCTCATCCATCTTTCGAGCTATCTGTGCAACTAATTGATAGAGAAGCCCCATTTGAACTTATCTATTAACCAAACCCCTCTTAAAGTGAATGAATTCTTGAAACAAAATGAGACTAAGTATATGTCTTTTGTTTCATGCCAGATCGGGCTAAAGCGTCGAGCTCAGGCTTTTTTCCAATTGTATATTTTGGGCTCCTGCCCCTAGCAAATAAGATCCGCACCCTACTCTACCCAGAACCCATACATAGTGTATAATAGTTTTCAGTAAACTTATAAAACAGCCAGAATGAAGCATCATTCTTCTTGATCAGAGCAATAAGCTCAATCGATATCCTTCCAATGGGAGTCTATCTATTGACCCGCACAGCCAGTTCGCACAGCCAGGGTATAAGCTAGTCTGTCATTTCCGACTGCGACAATCGAAATAAATGTTATCGTTGCTTTTATTGTCATTATCAAATAGTTATTTTCTTCTATTGTTGCTTTTATTATTTTTGTTATACGTTTCTAATGGTTAGCCGTGTAATTCAATGTTGCCCGAATGAAAAACCAGTTGCCATAAATTAGTCGAGCTTGTGGCCTTGCCGCCCGGTCAATAATTGCAAAAACAAGAACCAGCCATGTCGCCCGTGGCGTGTCGCGAGGTTATGTCTCCGACTCCGTCATGGATACTGCTCGACACAGTCAGAGCCCAACGGGCAGTCAATTATGCCGCTTAGACATTTAACTTTAGCAATAAAATAAATACATGCAAGCGGCACGAAGCGGTTCTGACTGTGGTGCGATTTATTGGAGCTGGCTTTAGGATTTCCACGGGTTGGGGCCTTTGCCTAGGCACACATGGGGCCTACGAAACTGCGCGTGTGACTCGGTCCCGAATAGGGCATTTCAATTGTTTGCCCAGAGCTCAACGAACTGTGCAAAGTGTTGTAATAAATGTCAGCCCCGGCGGCCTGTGAACCTTAAGAAAACAACAAGGAGCACACACAATCGGAAAATGCCCACACACACACACGCTTAGTAGGATGAATGCGGCCGATTAGGTTTTCTTTTCTTTTATTTCGCTGCTAGCTGGCAGTTTTAGACAAGCTCAAGGGCCTGCCAATGAACGAGCCAAGAACTAACCAGCTAAAAACCCAAAGGAAACAAAGTACTTTTTGGGCAAAACCTCGATGTGGGCACGGACAACAGCGCCGCTTTGTCTGAGGCTAGGCAAATGTCAAGATAAGTCAATGGACTGACGCAGGATAAACAAGTGAGAATGTACGACTAAAAGACGCCCTGTATACAGCTATGGACTATCTCGATCTGAGCTGGATGAGAAGTACAACCCAAATTTTATGTTACTCCGAGGCAAGCATAAGGATTTCGGAGAACAGGAGATGTGATATACAAGCAGCTTATGAATATACAAGAACTTATATTCCAAACGTGAGGACATAATATGTTGATGGAGAAGATTATGCATGGGTTCTGCCAGCTACCAAACCAGGATACCTTCTTGTACCCATTTTATTTGTACAGGGTACAGGGTATAAAAAGTGTAAGCGATGCCGATAAGACGCCAAGCCGGCAGCCGGCAGCCGGCATCCTGTACGGGCCGTCATAAAATAGTTTATTAGCATACAAGCGAACGGCAATCAGACGCTGGAAACTGGCTAAAGTGGGGGACTGTGAAGAAACTGCTGATTTCATGTGCTTTAGATCGGTCCAATTGCTTTCGGAGGATTTATTACAATGCCAACGGCGTCCGGTCAAAGTTATGTAAACAACCGGGAATCCTGAACAAACACAAAAAATGGCGCGCAAAGCAATCTTAAATGCTGACCAGAAGCTGCCCTGAATGTGGTTCACGGACCCTGGTCAGCCCACATCTCTGTCCATGTTGGATTTTGAGTTTGCTTTGGGCAAATGCCGCCAGTTAATTAACCGCATGCTTCTGCATTCCATCCCAGCCACTTGCCAGTTCCAGCTAATTGTGCTCCTTAAACACGCCTGGAACGGGGAGCACACGAAAGGACAACTGGAGGTGGGCGGATGGCGCATGAATGTCCAGGGTCAATACAAAAACAGCTGGGACAAGAGCAGGGCTCACTTACGTGTCGGCTACCAGCTATGAAATGAAATGGAAACTTTGCAGGTTTACTTTTCCAGTAAAAAGTGCTTCATCTAAATAATTAATTTTAATGCCGCAAATGAGTCGGGAAATCTGGCTTGGGCTTGCATATGAAATCACGATGACAATGACAAAAACTGCTTACATTTTGTTTGCAACAAGGGAAATTGCGCGATAATTAATTGAGCTCGTTATATTTATACACAATGATAATGGCCAAAGGAGGTATAAGGGCTCAGTGCATATGGCAGACGGAAAGGCAGGCAGGCAAACGGGTAGCTCCTTTCCGGTCTCATAAAATATATTTGTTAAGTTAATTGTTGGGAACAGCAACCTTTATATAAACGAGATTTTTTATATTCTATACCCTTTACGAATGCCCACACAAAAAGTCGTCGAACGCATGGACTCAGAGAATGAAAGGTAATCGACTGTGTTATACATTTCGATCTTAAGAGCTATTTCTAGAGGTCGTAAATTCTAATCGATCCTAAGAGCTACTCGATTCTTCGAGATTTGCCACGTTCGCAGTGGTCGTAGGCAAACTTGATAGTTATCGAGGTCGCAAGGTCGTAAGCAAGATCGATATTTATCGATTTTCAGAGCTAATCGATTTATCACGATTTTATACGTTTACTGTGGGAGTAGGTCGTATATCCCTATCGATCTCAAGAGCCACGTCTAAAAAGGTCGTTAGAAAAATCTATATTTATCGATCTTAAGTGCTAATCGATATCTTACGATTTGTTATGTACACAGTAGACGTAAGCTAAATCTATAGTTATCGATCTCAAGAGCTAATCGATTTTTCGTGATTTCCCGCGTTCACAATAGTCGTAAGCAACAAAATCTATATTTATCGCTAGATCTACGGCGCTTATCGATAGTTTCCATCCAAATTTGGCAAAGCTACCTCAAAATCTGTCGAAAACAATAATGCCACACCCGCTTAAAAGCTAGAGATAGCAAAGCATGTCCTTCACGCGCCAATTTATTTCATATCCGATTTCTCACAACTCCCACACCTCATTTATTTGGGGGAAATATTTACTTGTCCTTGAGTAAATATGCATATATATATGTGTGTTAACTGAATGGGAAACGAGTAAATTTGCAGCTAAGCAGGGAGCATGTGAATTCAATTCATGCATTCAGTCGACGTTCTCCGGCAATCGGCAATCAGCAATCCCCAATCATTGTCATCTAAAATGAATGCCTCGCTCAGCTGTGAAAGCGCCTTTGGTTGGTCGAGTGTCTTGGAATGGGCTTTTGCAGAGCAGAAGTCAAATGTATGGCACGTTTGGTGGCATTTTCACACCAATTTAGACCCACAGCAAATTACAATCCAAAACACAAACACACACACACAGACACATAGGGGTACGATGGTTGTGACATGGCCAAACACATTACTCATACGACGCGTGTGGCGTGTGGCGAAGCGCATTTCGATGGCGATTCTACTCAAAGGAGAGTGCTGGGCTACGCTAATTTCAAAGTTGCGTGCAGCCAGCTTTTCGTAGAAACCACCGACAAAAAATTAACTGCAAATTACGCCATCCTGCATTATAATAATATACGCATTTACGTTTGCATTAATGCCCCACATGTGCCTCCAAGTTCGGCATCTAACCATTTACGTTTGCATTAATGCCCCAAATGTTCGAGTTGAGGAGCAGCTGAATTAGCCCCAAGGGAGTCAATATTTAAGCAGTTACCAAGAAGGAGGCGCTACATACCTTAGTTTGCAACAAATGCTAATGCTGCGGCTGTTCCTGCTGCTGTCTCGAGGCAACCTGATGTCCACGTTCACTGCTCCATGAGCACCTAGAGAACCTAGAGCACCTACTGATTGCTGACGCGGGAAGAGGAGAAGATGTCGCACCTTTACGGCTCTTGTTATATCACACACGGCGCGAGGACTTAACGGACGCCAGCGTCAGAGACTGTGACTCCGGCGCCCGAGAGCTGCTGACGCGTTGACCGAAGCGTAAAATTATGTTTGAACTTAATTTTTTGTTTTTTTTTTTTGTTTTAGTTTAATTTTGTTGCCACTTTTAGAATTTTTCCGTTTGAAATGCCGTTTAACTGGCAAATAGCTGACAGTTAATATGTTTGGGTCTGTTTAATTATATCTTATGCTGCGCTTTGCAGCTGAGAAAAACGGTGTGTATCGAAAGGGAGCGAGCGGGCGGTTGGAAAAACCAACGAAGTAGCAACAACAAAATAACAAAGTCCAACCGCAACAACGGCGCGAGAATAAAACCAAAAAAGAGCTGAGTCCCCGAATAGCCGCAGCGGCAATACGCCTCAAACGCTGGTCACAGACTGAGACCAAAACTGAGACAAAATCTTAACGCAACCAGACCTGGACTCTGGGCAAACTGAGTGAAAATGCCAGCCGAGAGCCATGAATGAAGCACCAGAATCTGGGCATGCGCACTGCCCATCCACATCAGAAGCGCGCCAACTGAAATGACTCGACTCGGCAACGACTCAACTCAAACTCTTGCATGGTTATATAATCACGGCATTTGGACTAGGCGCACAGTGAGGTAAGAGAGCCGTCACACCTGGCTGGCTGACAAGCGGGCGTTGAAGGCAATCGGCCGGACAATTGAGCCGTCGCTCGACGCGCAGCCATGATCCACAGTTGCAGTTGTCGACTCATCGCGTGCGACTCCCGTTTTGGTATTTGTTTTGGAAGACTCGGTGCCCCAAAAAAGGAGCCTGAGGTTATTACCAGATATGTACATGTGCACACATACTTAGTGCTCATGGTAATGTCAACGCTTTTGGGCTTGGCCACAATTTCTTTTTGTTTTCTTATTGTTCACACATAATAATATAACTCTATATATAAATATGCTTATTCTGACTGACGCACAAATATTCACTTTATGTGATGGAGGTGCACGCTAAGACGGGCTCTTAGGAAATTCCACCCGCGCATGTGAAAATTGGTGGAAACCAGTTATGTAAGCAATTAAATTTTCCCCTAGCTGCGTTGCAATTTCAAAAAAACGTATTTTTAGCTAACGCCCTACTACTCGATTCTCATGAATTCAAGTAAGTAAGCCGCGTAGGCTTCACTTCATGTGAAGGAGGAGGCGGCTTCAACTAAGGAGGAGACGGCGGCTGCAACTATACAGGATGCCTCAGCTTCAGCAATGAGGAGACAGCAACTTGAGCAAAGGTGACTTTGGCTTTGATGAAGGAGGTGGCCATTGAAAAATCTGGTGCGTATTTTAGTTTTTATGCATTTTTAATCTAATTAACATTTTCTGTTCTTTCAGTAATGTTTTTATATAAATGTTCGTCTCATGTCTACTGATGGCTGACTATAAAATAATTGTCCATTTGAGTTTACAGGTAAGTACGTAATTATAAACATTTCACACTTTTCGTAAAATCGACCTCTTTTGTTTGTTTTATTATACTTAAATCTTGTTTTTTGTTAGTTATCTAAGTATATAACAATACAAAGTTAGATGTGGAGTTCAAGATAGTAAGGGTAAATTTAAGTTGTCGATAGGCGGAAAATGGCTGAAAAAGTTAAATCTTAAATTTGAAGCACAAAACTGGCCACGCGAAAGGGCGGGAAATACCCGCTACAACTTTTTAAGCATATATTTTGCATGTATATAATACATACATACACACATTGTTCTAGGTAAACGTATGTACACGCACACATACAAATATATTTAGATGTGTGCAAAATTTAAATATGAAATATTTTAGTTTTATATGCTCAGCTGCCTCTGTTGTGAATCTCAGAGTTGTTGCTGTTGCCCACGCCTGAAATCATTTGGAAAATAAATCGAACGCAAATAGCGGCAACGCGGCATGGCAAGGCAACGTTTTGTGTAGGCGTGCTAGTGACCAGGCAGTACATATGTATATACGTATATACGTACATATGTATGCATGTACTATTCATATATCTTATACAAGTCTAAGAAATATGCCTTTGCTTGAAAGGCGACAGTCTCTGACGCATCATTGTCAAGCAAGTCAAGCAGTAAACAGCTGGTAAAAACTCATTTTAATGTCAATTATTGTGGGTTTTCCCGGTATTGTGCTTGGCAAATGACATACATACATATATTATTTACTATCGATAAGCGTGCGGATCGATTGATCGATTATTGAGGCTCATTTCTCTTCCGTGTAGGTGTGCAACGATTTGTGACGCATTTAAAGCATAGCGTCAATGCTGGCTTAAAGACGTGTATGTACGCACACACACATATTAAATGACTATGCATATACATACATACACATATATATAAATACAATGCTATTTCGTATGCTTTGAGCTGGTTCAGAAGCCATGCGACTGTCGCTGCTACTCAATATCAGCCTGCGGAATTCGCTCTCTCGTGCAGCTTTTGGATACTCAGCTGATGTATGTATATTGTTGTAGTAGTTATTGCCGCCACTGGCTATTAATAAATCTGATGTGTGTGAATCTCGACTCTCAGATGGCTACCGATCGGCCCAGAGAGCAAGCAGCTACTTCCATAGGCAGAGATTGAGAAAGAGAAAATTGTAGTAGATGAGAAAAGAAATATATCGTTTGCAATGTGTTGGCACATTGTTAAAACACTTACCAATTTAGGACTTAACTGTTATCCGTTAAAGCGTCGCAAACAAAGTTAACAAGCCGCGTGCTAGCTCAACTTAACAACTGAGAATGGAGATGGAGAGAGAAAGAGAGAGAGAGAGACTGCGTCGTCGCCAAACGTAACATCAAGGCAGCCCCAAAACGAACGAACGAAAAAGGTTGCGCTCAGTCGACGAGCAACTTTGGCAGCGAGCAGTGGGCAACGACGTGAACTATTAGACTAACGGACAACTATACTACGTGGTCGTGCGTGTGTGTGCGTTCAGCAGCAATGTGCAAAAATATTTTTATCTATAGGTGTTGTATATTTAAGTTGAATATATAAATACAAAGCATCATACCGCGCACACATAACAGAAGGAGAGATCGAAACAGAGAAAGAGAGAGAGAGAGAGGGACCTTAAAGCGGCCAACGGAAGTACGTAAAAGCAAAACGTATCGAGAGTGCATTCGTGTGCGTGTGCTGAACAGCTGCCGTGGCTGTTAGAAAGTGTAGCCAAAGAGTGACATCACGTCAACCGAGAGAGGAAAGGCGGGCAAGACGCAGAGGATACCAAGCAATTAGCAATCGATTACGCTGTTGTGGAAAAGTCGCATCTAATCCCAGCGGCAAGTGGAGAAACCACAGTACATATAGTACTTATTAAATATCAAATCGTATCGTATCGGATCGGGACGGACGAAACGAAACGAAACGCGACGAGACGACGGCCGGCTGCGGAACGTACGAGAATTAACGGACAAACACATTGTCGCTCTCAAGGTGAACCTGCCTGCCGAACATAGCAGCAACAACAGCGCCAGCAGCAGCAGCAGTAGCAGCACAACTCAAAGCAAAGCAATTTATTTCGAAATTAGTCGCAGCGCTTCGAGACGCGTCGAGCAACGGAAACAGAAAGTGACAGGACTCGCTTAGGGCAGCCAATATGAAGCCAACTGTGATAGCAGCAAGCCAGCCCGGCGCAGGTGGCGGCGGTGGTAACGGCAACGGCACGCCTGCCGGACCCGGCATCAATATACCCATCAGTCGCGAGTATGTCGGCAGCGGTGCCTCGCCGCAGCAGCAGCAGCATCCTCAGCATTACGCACAGCAGCAGCAGCCGGCTCAGTTCTATGCCAGCCAGCCAGCGGCGTATGGATCGCCTCGCCAGCAGCAGCAGCCGCAGGTGCCCATAAATCCGCAGCAGCAACATTTTCAGGTGAGTGACTGGCTAAAAATCAACGGCGCCAGCCTCAAGGTCGCCTCTCTGCTTGCTTATATGTACATTTGTATGTAGACTTGTAAACTGGAGCCCGACAAGGTCGCTTTAAATTGTTTTTGGCGACAGATGCGTTTGGCGATGAAAATTTAATTAGCTCGTTCTCTGAAAATGCACATAAAGCAACTTTTTTTTGGTGCGCATCGGAAACTTATAACTTCGCCTCGCATTTTTGTTGTGTAAAGGCGAATTGGAGGATATACAAACATATGTAGCATATGCATGTGCGCATGTAAGTGTGACTCACACATACATAGTATGCAGCCAGTTTGCCATGCCCTACAGCAGCTTGAGAAGTGTGTCAAGTGTATGTGTGTGAGTGTGTTTGTGTGTGTGCTTGCACTGTTGACCCAATAGGCTTACTCTACATACATATGTATGTATATCACAATTACATATGCACTATCTATTTACATATGTACAGTTTTCGCTGTCAACGCTGCGTATGATTAACGTAGCGCGGCTTGCGGAAATTTACCATGGAACAGCATCAACTGAACAACAGGAGTATTCCAAGTATAACCACAGCTGATTGGCTATCTAATCTAATTGCTGGCCACACAAAAGTATCAAGTGTTTTTTTATGAACGAGACGAATCGACGCTCGATTTGATTTGTGCTCGTTGAATATATTTAACAATTTCTAGAAAATGCGTGATGATAGACAAACGCAAATGTTCTACCCACCAAATACTCGGAGAGAGTAAGACACAGAAAATGAGCGAGGAAGAGAGAGAGAGAGAGAGAGCTTATTAAAAGAACTGGCAAAAGCAAACATTTGGTTTACTTCTTGGCTCGCTTTTTGCTCTCAGCAAACGCTAAATATTTTCGACTAAATCGCAACTGTAGCTGTAGGTGCACTTACTTACTAATACATTTACAGACAAGTGTTCACACACTCTGATAGGTTTATACATATATATAAATGTGTGAATGTGTGCATGTGGGTGGGCAAATGGCCGTCTATATGTATGAATGTATTTACATATATACAATATAAGCATGTACAAATGCGTGTAGGCGGCAACAGCGACAGCTCACGAAATAACAGCATATATTGCTTAACTTGTTGGCCAAGTCGAAGAGGCCGAGATGTTCTGTGGTCAGTCGTCACAAGTTTCTGATCGGATAGTGACTTGATTTGTTTACAACACTTGCTAATCTAGCTTATATGTA